TATGAATTAGCATCTGTGGGTTTCCTATATACTTCTGTCACTAATTTATTGCCTGTTTTCCTAATTTCAACATCCAAAAAATGTATCTTTTGTTTGTCATACTCTAATTGAAATTTAATAGTACTATGTACTTGGTTAATGTAATCTCCAAATTCAACCAGAGATTTTGTTGTTTCATTCCAAATTAAGAAAATGTCGTCCAAAAATCTCTTATAAAAAATTATGAATTCATTATAAGGATTGTCAGGGTGAAGAATACATGTATTTTCAAGTCTATCCATAAAAAGATTGGCTAGTTCTGGTGCAAATTTGCAACCCATTGCTGTGCCTGATATTTGCCAAAAGTATTCTTTTTGGAACTGAAAGAAATTCTTTTTAGGCATAATTCAGCAATGTGGCAGAGGAATGATGTGGGGGGAAACAATTGTCCACTTCTCCGATCTAATGTGTCCCATAAAACTTCCAAAGCTTCATCTTGTGGAATGTTGGTGTATAGAGAGGTGACATCCAAAGTAGCAAAAATGACTTCCTCTGTTTGCAGTTCTAAACTATTAATGTGGTTTAAGAAGGCCATGGTATCCCTCAAATAAGAGTGGGTGGTATGTACAAATGGCTTCAGAAAAAGATCCAAGTATTGTGCTAAAGGCTCTAAGATTGATTTATTGGTGGACTTTAATTGGCTAAACTGGAGTATTTTTCAATTAACAATAATATATATAAGAAAAACTATAATGAATTTTTCTTTGCTTCCCTTTTCCCTCTTTTTCTGTTTTCAATCAGTATTTAGGAAACAACATCTGGCCTTTTCCTGTATATGTACACCTTATGTAAAAAAATTTTTTTTGAATGTATGTCAAATTTGTAATTGGAATTGTGACCACTGAGGAAGGCCCTTTGAGGGGCCGAAACGCGTTTGGTTCAGTTGCACAGCACTAACCCATCTATGTATGAATGTTGAGAAGTTTTTTAATGTCTGAATGGTATATTTTTAATGAGTCTAAGTTTTAAAATGTGTACACCTGAATAAATTTTGCACTTCCCTCTGTAGCCACACACATGGAGGTTTTGGCTGTAGTGGGCATGGCCAACTCTGAAGCCAGCCGGAACTCCGTTCCTGTGCGTTCCTACCCAAAAATAGCCCTGAGTATGTTTAATCCCTTCTTCTGTGCTCTTTGGTCGACAGATGCCACAGCCTCCTGTACTGAAGGCCTCTCTCTGCTCCAGTGTTCCCTCTAAGCTGAGTTAGTGTGAGCTAGCTCACCGTTTTTTAGCCTCCGGCTCACACATTTTTGTCTTTAATCACTTGTGTAAAAAAACGTATTTCCTTTTGTCCCTCCTGAATCTACTGCCCATCAACTTAATTGGCTGCCCTTGACTTCTAGTATTTTGGAAATAAGTTCTCTGTCCACTCTTCCTTCTCCATGCATTATTTTATAAACCTCTATCACATCCTCCCTAAATTATCCCTTCTCCTGTACTTTTCCCAGATGTGCAATGTGCTTTTTGAGATATGGTGACTTGAACTGCACACAGTATTCCAAGGAAGACTGTACCATAGATTTATACAGGGGCATTACGATATCTAGACCCAGGGGTCATTTCCTGCAGGAGTGCAGAGAAGCAGAGTTCAGGCAGTAAAGAGCCCAGGGGGCAGGCACATGCAACAAGCCCCACCCCCTGCTCCCAGCCGCCCTCAGACAGAGCACTGCACATCCCCCCCCATAACTAGCAATCCAAAACAGTCTAGTGGCACCTTTAAGACCATGTTTTATTCAGGTACAAGCTCTCCCTCCTCTGCGAGGACAGACTGTCCCCCCCCCCCCCCAATAGCTAGCAATCCAAAACAGTCCAGTGGAGCCTGAGTGGTGGGTGTTGCCTTCTGACACACTTCCAGTGATGTCAGGGGGTGTGGCATATGCAAATAAGTTATGCTGATGAGTTATGCTAATGAGCTCCTGCACCTCTTTTTCTACGAAATGACCCCGTCTAGACCTAAGGACCACTTACTCCCATAGGAACCTACCTGGTCACTATGGTCACCTTCAGGGACCCTTGCTTCTGGTGCCCCTTCTATCTGAGGCTAGATGAGTGGCAACCCATGAAAGGGCTTTCTTAGTTGTGGCACCAAAATTATGGAATACCCTTCTTAGGGAGCTTTGTCTGTCCCCCTCTATTGCTGTCTTCTTCCAGAGGGTGAAGACTTTTCCATCTTGCTTGGCATTCCCTCATTGACCCTCCTTCCAACCGATGTGTTGAATTTATTATATATACTTTTGACCAGTGTTCCCACTAAGCTGAGTTAGTGTGAGCTAGCTCACAGTTTTTTAGCCTCCAGCTCAGTTTTGTCTTAGCTCAGGAAGAAGGGCTCCAGAGCAAGCTAATTTATGCAGTAGCCAAATCATTCGCTCACGATTTTAATGCCAGTAGCTCACAAAGTGGAATTTTTGCTCACAAGACTCCACAGCTTAGATGGAGCGTTGCTTTTGATTGTTCAGTGAATTGGGGACCCTGATTTGGGGGGAAAGGTGGCATAACAATGTTTATAATAATTATCATTATTAATAAAATAATAGGTTTCTTGGCAAGGTAAATAAGATGGGAAAGTGAAAAGGAGGGGAAAAGGAAGAAAATGAAACGGAAAGACTACTTGAAAGTAAAAAAGAAAATGAACCAGTGAAGATTCAAGGATCAGTCCTAAAGAAACACTAAGTCCATTGAGAATTTTGACATGGTCAACAATAATCCTATCGCTGGCGTTTCTCTCGGATGCCACTTGGTATGGAAGAAGTAAGACGCCCTGACAGGAATGGGAAGTGAGTTTTCCTGGAGCAGATGTTTGCAAACCTACTCAGGCACGGCAGCTTTTCCCTCTCTTGCCAAAGGTCAGGTCGCTGCTGGGAAACCCCGGGAGCCGCCTTAGCGGAGAAGCGAAAGTGAAAGCTTGCCTGGCTCCGAGCTCAGTTTCTGCGCCATGGAAGAGGGACCGAAGTCGTGCCCGTTCCCCGTGCTGGTAAAGGGGGACTGGGGGGCCGCGGATCCCCCCAAGGGCGTGAAAAACAAACTCCTCTGCTACTTCCAGAGCCGGAAGAGGTCTGGCGGAGGCGAGTGCGAGCTGCAGCTGCGTTCCGGCCGGGTCCTGGTTTGCTTTGCCCAGGAAGAAGGTGGGAGAAGCGCCGCGGCTTGCTCGAGGCCGTTGGAAGGGGGGGAGAGGGCGAGAGAGCCTGGGGCTGGTGGTCGCCGCCAACTCTGGGGGCTGGGGCGGTCAACTGCATTGCAAGCAGCCACTCCAAAAGTGGGAGAGGGAAGTATTCGCAGTATTATATTTCCGTGCTGGGAAAAGCTGGCTTTGCTGGATCTCCGCCCTCCTTTTCCTTTCTGAGGCCCCTCTGAGAGAACATGGCAGAAAGTTTTGCTAGAAAGTAGCTAGTGCAGAGCCCACGCAGGAAGCTCGTAATATGGTGATTTCAGGGGTGAAAGCGCTTCGTATTTTAGCAACATCAGAGTAATCCGTGTTACAGCAGTCCCGCAAGGCGGGTCAGTATCCCTATGGTCTTTTGGGTGGGCTGCAGCTGAGAGCCGAGTGGGTTGCCTACATTGCCTAAAATTGCCTAAAGTGTGGATTTGTGGCTGAGATGAGACCAGAAGAGAAGAGATTGGATTTATACCCCGCCCTTCACTTGGAGTCTCAGAGCGGCTTACAAACTCCTTTCACTTCCCCTCCCCACAACAGACACCCTGTGAGGTGGGTGGGGCTGAGAGAGCTCTGACACAAACTGCTCTTTTTCAAGGACAGCTGTGCCAGAGCTTGTGACTGACCCAAGGTCACATCAGCAGGTGCAAGTGGAGGAGTGGGGAATCAAACCCGGTTCTCCCAGATTAGAGTCCGCGCACTTAACCACTACACCAAACTGGCTCTCAGGAGGGGAGTTTTGATGATGGTGTCTGTTTCCACAGAAGTATCTGGCCAATGCCAATCCTTTGGAGAAGTAGGTTCTCTCCCCCCACCCCCGCTTTCCCATAGCATCATGGCGTGTTAGGGTTGCCAAGTCTGGGTTGGAAAATACCTGGAGACTTTGGGGGTGGAGCCAGGAGAGGGCGGGGTTTGGGGAGGGGAGGAGCCTCAGCATAGTACAATGCCATAGAGTCCACCCTTCAAAGCAGCCATTTTCTCCAGGGGAGCTGATCTCTGTCGGCTGGGGATCAGTGGTAAAAGCAGGAGATTCCCAGGCCCCACCTGGAGCCTGGCAACCCTATGGTGTGTTCATACACCTTCAGGAGTTCCTCTAGTGCAGTGATGGCGAACCTTTTAGAGACCAAGTGCCCAAACTGCGACCCAAAACCCACTTATTTATTGCAAAGTGCCAACACGGCGATTTAACCTGAATACTGAGGTTTTACTGTAGAAAAAACCACTCACGCATTGACTTAAGATGATCCAAACAAAGTAAGGAAAGCAATCCCAAATGCTTTCATTTACTTAAAATTATTTGGCAGAGAATTCGACACTTTAATGATGGTCTGGGCCTGGCTGGGGCGATGGCACGCGTGCCCACAGAGAGGGCTCTGAGGGCCACCTCTGGCCCCCGTGCCATAGGTTCACCACCACTGCTCTAGTGTTTCTCCGATATATATATATATATTTTTAAGCCTGCTTTGCTCCAGAGATTTGATCATGCCTGGATGGTTGCTATGTGGGTGGGAAAACTTGGTTTCTCCAGCCCACGTGGCAGCCATTGGCCCTGCCCCTACATCAGCCATTTCCTCTCCCTTGTGGTGGGTGGGGGTTTGTTTGTTTGTTTACTTTTAAATTTTTAAAGAAAATTCTCATATTTTTAAACAAAAGGTCGGTCTCTCTGTCCCCCTTATTTAGTGGAGATATAAGGGAAAAGGTATATTTTTTGCAAGGGAAGGGGGGCTAGAACCCTTTTTAAAATGAAACTTGGGAAACTGGAGAACCTGCTACCCCTATAGTTACAATGGTTGAAGGGTTGCTTAAGGACACCTAGTGAGTTTTTACCTGGGGTGAAATTTGAACCAGATATTTCTCAGATTACAATTAATCTTTTTTGGCTATTCTACTACACCAGCATAGTGTAAAGTTACGAGGAAATGCAGGAACACTGAAAGACCCCCATACTCACACTAGAGAAGAAGAAGAAGAAGAAGAGATTGGATTTATACCCCGCCCTTCACTTGGAGTCTCAAAGCGGCTTACAAACTCCTTTCCCTTCCCACAACAGACACCCTGTGAGGTGGGTGGGGCTGAGAGAACTCTGACACAAACTGCTCTTTTTCAAGGACAGCTGTGCCAGAGCTTGTGACCGACCCAAGGTCACATCAGCAGGTGCAGGTGGAGAAGTGGGGAATCAAACCCGGTTCTCCCAGATTAGAGTCCGCACACTTAACCACTACACCAAACTGGCTCTCAGAGAGGCTTAGTATACCTTTATCCTGTACTGTTTTATTTGACCTTCCCCTGGGTTCTTCTGAAGTGCCCTGCTGCAATGAAATGCCACAATTGGCTCTTCACTTTTGGGGAAGAGATGCTTTGCTGAAGAAGTAAGTGGGTACCTGGAAACCCATTGGCAGGTGTCATGGAACCCACAAGGATCGTGTTGGGGAACACGGGGGTCCTAAAGATATGCCAGTGCCTAACATCTCTATATGGGAAATGGGAGTAGCTAGAAAGCAGCAGCAAAGAATTTCCTTCCCATATAGCAGATTTTCACATTTCTGAGCACTCCATAGTGTAAATTTCAAGCATCTCTTCCCCCCCCAGCTTGTAGACTCAAAAATTATCTCCTTCCTCAATATTTCTCCACTCTACTTGTTACGTCTTTAGAGTTCCATAAGATACCTGTGTTGCTATTTTTCTGGACCTATAAATTAGAATCTCTTTTACACACGCTGTTTCTGTTTCAGTGAGGCAGAGAGTTCTATCCCAAAAGATCCATGAGCTTGACTTGGCTGGGAAAGAAAAATTGGTACTGACGGTCACACCACACGAAAGAGCTGATGCCCCAGAGCAGAAAGTTCCTGAACAGGTAATACAGAGGCAAACTTTAAAGGAGCCACAGTTCTGAAATATTTGCTAGTTCTATAACCCTAACCCTATTAACATGCTGCTATGGTTTTGTTTCTAGGTTTCTGAAAAAGAAGATCGTCCAGGAGAGACAGGTATGATGGGCCATGTAGAATTTAAAAAATATATATTTTGGGTGTGTGCATGTGTGTTTTGAGTGCTTGCCTGGAAGTCACGGTTGACTTCTGGTGACCCCTACTGGGGGCTTGGATGTTTTTCAAAGAGGTGGCTTGATTAGCCTGCCTCTGTGTCCCGCCTCTGGTATTCCTTGCGGGTCACCCTTCCAAGTACTTGCCAGGGTCCGCCATGCTTAGCTTCTGAATTGGGCTTGCCTAGGCTATCCAGGTCAGGGCTGGTTGTGTAGAATTTTTAAGCATTGATACAGTTTCCGGATAATTTGGAGAAGCTTTTTAATGATCCTTTCTTAGCTTTAGCGTCCCTTCCCCCCAGTCCCATGTATTTGTGAACCCAATCAGCTATCCCTTAAGGACTTCCCCAAGAAAGTAAATGAGCAGACTTTTAGTGGCTTATCAGTAGTTTCCTTAATCTAACACACAGTGCTGTGTCCTGCCCCACAGAATGTGTTACAGAGGAAATGGGCTATTGATTGAGGGCTGTTTAATTTTGTTGTTGTTTAAAGCAGGAGGACTGGGAAAGGGAAAGACACAGTCCAACCCTAAATGGCTTTTATAAGCTGACGGTGGGGGGGGGGAGAGAAGGGGAAAGCACATGAGAAATGGCTGAAAAGGTTTCATGGAAGGGAGCAGCAGTCTTGCTGGTTTCTGAGCTGAACTGGTGAACTCTTAGCTACTAGCCAGAGTCACCCGTAGGTCAAAGGTAAGCCTGAGAACTATCTAGATTGGAGAGCACCGTCTGTGGATTTTCCAGTTAATCTCTTATCCAGTCATTGATTACCACATGAAATGCATATATGGTGTTGGGAGATTTTTTCCTTCAAGAGAGTAGAACGCAATGAGTGCTACTTTTGGCCAAAACGTCTGGAATCCTTTGCAACAGCTTGAAGTTTTCAATGCAGTAAAATGATATGTACAGAAACCATAATACCCTGCATTCAGATCACATTCCAATACTGTGCTCCACCAGTTTCTTCAAAGACATCCCATGTTCTGCAGCCAACACACTTAAGAATAATTTCTTTTGAATACAGCAGAGAATTACATTTTGGGGTGGTGATGGAAATTAGTACAGGAGAGGAGAAATGGGGAAAGACTTGTGAGAGTAGGAGGCAGGTGAGATGAATATGTGTGCAGGATATACACATCCTTGTCTAACAAAATTTTGTTTATTTAATTTATAACCTGCATCCTCTCCTTACAGGGGACTTGGGGCGGCTTACAACATTTAAAATACAATACAAATAAATGCAATAAGTATAATAAAAACAAAAGGTCAATTTAACAAGCATACCTGAAGGATTAAAACAATTGGCCAGCTCCCTGGTTTGTAATGCTAACCAAAGGCTGAACAAAGCAAAATAGATCTGACATAAATGTCACTTTGTTGGGCTGGGCCATGTGTGCCATAAAATGTAACATGAGGTACCCGAGATACAAACTTTATAAAGATGATTCCAGATGCCAAATGGCAATAGCAGGCTTGATTGGATTAGGTGTGATTTGCCGAGAGTAGAGATATCAGCATTGGTAATGAGACAGGAAACCTAGGTCATACAGGTAAGACGGTCCTAGATGGTTTAGGGTTTTATAGGTCATGTATCCACCTATCTAATTCTTGACCCTTTGGAAGACACTCTTGTTACATGGTTTCACAGTTTATTTTGCAGTCATCTGAAGGTTCTGACCAGACCTTGCTTTGGTATTTTTCTGTTTGTTGAGTTATCCTGGTTTGCTTTGAAGTTAACTCATGGTTACCAGTTGGAGACAGAGGTAGAATAACATTTTTATTGTTGGTCTTCTTGCACAATAAACAAGAGAATATAAATTAAATTTAAATATTTGAGAGGGGATATCTTGGCACATTGGCCTGTGTATGCTGGCTTGAACCCCCCAAGTAAGTATATCTCCTTTCTGCTTCTATCAAATTAGCTGTGCAGGACGGCTTACAAAAAGGGGACCTCACAGCAGCCAACACTTCAGCTGGAACAAATCCTCTGGATGTCTGGTCCCCAGGGGTTGGAGCTAAAGCGCAGCTTAATTGAAGCAAAATCATGGGAGAAGGCACTTTTGGCTTATAGTTCTATAGTTGACAATATTTCTTCCTTTGCCAAACCAGTGGGCTCTAATAGCCAAACCAGCCTCCCAACAGCTGGTTTGACAAAGAATGCCTGCTTTTTAAAAGTAAACTTAGGCAATCTTTCCGACAAACCCAGCAGGGAATCTTTGCTTATTCACCTAATCAGTTTTTTAAGCTTAAGAACGAATATGGCCAATTGCTAGCACAAAAAAAGCACGTTTTTTATTTGGAAAAATGGGCTAGATTCTTTGAAGCTGCCCGAGCTAACGATACTCGAGCCTTTTGGCTTCTGGCTGGTAAACACAACTCCCCAACCGGAGCTGCTCCTGCTTGTACTATTCCTTCAATCAGATGGTTCTCCTATTATAATGATCTGTTCAATGAGCCTTCTGAGCTGGATATGAACAGTCTTGGATTGATACCTCCTGACACCCCGAATTGGCCTCCAGTTTCGCAAGATTAAATTGCGGAACTAATTGGCTCTCTTAAATCTAATAAGGCCCCTGGCCTAGATGGGCTCCCTGCGGAGATATTGAAAGGTAACATTGATTGGTGGTCGCGTTCCTTAGCCCATCTGTTTACTTCTTCCTAATTCTTGGCTGAGTGCTGTTGTTGTCCCGATTTTTAAGAAGGGGGATCCCAACAACATTGACAATTATAGACCAATTAGCTTGCTTTCCATTTTAGGGAAGCTATACGCCAAACACCTGCTTGTCAAATTGTCTAAATGGATGGCAGATCAGAATCTCCCTGGACGAGAGCAAACCGGTTTCACAGAGAATCAATCCACTCTTGACGATTGCACCACTCTAGCTTTTCTAGCTGAAAAATACTCTCGTCATCTGCGCAGTAAACTTTATGTAGCTTTTGTGGATCTCTGTAAAGCTTTCGACTCTGTCAATAGATCTCTATTGTGGGACAAACTTCTCAAATTAGGGATTGACAAGCGCCTTTTATTTCTGATTCGGAAGCTGCATACGGCCAATTTTTGTCAAGTGAGGTTTGACAATAAAGGCTCCCTCACCAAGGAAATAAGTGTTTCTAAGGGGGTTAAACAAGGGTGCGTCCTTGCCCCTTCACTTTTTAACCTTTTTATTTCTGATTTATCATCCTCCTTGGATAGGGTTAATGGCCATCCGCCTAAATTAAACATGACTGCAGTTCCGGTTTTGCTCTACGCGGATGATGCGGCCATCCTTTCCTTTACAAGGATTGGTCTCATACGCTCTCTATCCGAGTTTAATGCTTACTGTTCCCGGAATTGCCTTTCCATTAACTTTGACAAGACAAAAATATTGGTTTTCTCTAAATCATGGAAATGTAACCATTGGTCAATAGCGGGAAGAGAAATACAGCAAGTAAAATCCTTCCGGTACTTAGGAGTGCTATTTTCATACAACTTAAGCTGGTGCTCGCATAGAGAACACTCCCTGACTATGGCTAAGAATAAGGCTGCAGCCCTAATTCGGTTTTTTTTCCAAAAGGGCAACCAATTTGTACCGGCTGCACTTAAGATGTTCCAAGCAATTGTTATATCCCGTCTGCTATACGGGATCCCTGTTTGGATCCAGTCTTTCAATAGGAGAGTTGAGAGCATTTACTCCACCTTTTTGCGTAGGATTCTTGGTGTTTCCAACTCAGTGTCACTCTTTGCTCTTTACAAGGAGCTGGGTCTTCACTTGGTAGAATCTTGGGCTTGGATCATTACGATCAAATATTGGCTTCGGCTTTACTTTCGATCTCCCCCTGCTAGCCTAATGGCCCAACTTTTAACTGACCCCTATATATCAGAGTGGTCACAGGCCATAGTGAAAAAGGTGGGTACCCTAGGTATTGACCTGGAACCCCTCTATAACTGTGGTGAGGTCGCAATCTTGCAGGTGGTCAAGAGGAGAATTTGGGATATAGAGGCGCAGATCATTAATGCCGGTAGTCTTGGGGTTTGCTCTCCCTATTCATTACCCCTCCTTCCCCTACATACATCCATGGTACTGTATATTGCTAATCTGACAATCCCAGTTTTTAGGAGGGTTTTTATGCTTGCAAGGTTCAACCTTTTCCCTTCAGTAGTGGTCTCAGGTAGATACAGGGGTGTCCAGTATAAGGATAGACTCTGCAACTGTAATCTTGGGGAACCCAATTCTGTTACCCACATTCGTTTTCGCTGTCCTAAATATTCCGCTATGCGCAATATCCTGATTCGTCCTCTCTTCCCTATGCAGAGAGATTTTCTGGATAGGGATTTATTTTTTTTTCTAGCAGACAAAAGTCCAGCAACAACACTATCTGTCGCAGAATTTTTGACCTATGTATGGAAGTCAAGAGTAATACTCTGTAAATCTTGTAAACCATGTTAGGATTGTTTTGTGTTTTGAGATATTGGGAATTTTGATTGATGTTGTTCTTTGTACCTACCCTTAAACTCTCCCCTGTTTGATTTATCTATGGTATGCCAAATAAAGGTTTTCTGTTCTGTCTGTTCTGTTCTGTTTTTACAAAGACCTGCCAGCGTCTTCCCTTGTTGTTCTTGAAAATGTCGAAGAATCCATCACGCATGACATGTTGATGCTACTGGTGGAAAATATTTCAGGAGGAAACAACTTCCAAGTTGAATTAATAACGGAGAAAAAAGCTGCTGTGATAACCTTTCAGCAAAATAATGGTATGAAATATAAAATTGATGTTATTTAAATATTTCATTTTGAGAAGAGCATGTAACGCTTTAAGGCAATCTCAAATGAAACCCTTTTATCCTATTCCTGTACTGTGAGGGAGATACTTGTAACTTCTTAGCTGAAGATTTGATCCTTCTCATGTGAAACACTTGTTTTGCACATATCTGCTTTCCAGACAGAATCCGAACTAAACACTTAGTGTGTTCCATTGCTGCTTAATCCAGATTTGATGCTTTAGTCTGTTGTTACTTGCTACAGTTAAAAATTACTTTCGCAATAATGTGACCTGCACTGGTCTTAAATATTCTTACACCGTGTGTCCCTTTATAGTCCTGTTCATGCATTCATAATTGGGTATGCCATCTACATTCATATAATTAAATTATCATATGGCATTCTGTATAGAATAGCCAGGAGATCCTAAGATTGTCTGGCAGCCAGAAGTTCTAGCTCCTTAGCGTTATGCACCACTAGGTGGCGAGCTAGACTTGTTTTTTAAGGCACGAGGTATTTCAGAGGCAATTTTGCCATTGCCTGCCTCTGCGTCACGACTCTGGTATTCCTTGGAAGTCGCCCTTTCAAATACTAGCCAAGGCTGACCCTGCTTAGCTTCCAAGATCTGATGGGATCAGGTGAGCCTGAGTTATCCAGGTCAAGGCTACATGCACGTAAAAAAGCAAGATCACACCTGCTTGGCCCTACCCTGGTGCGTTTTAGCATACAGCAATATCTGCAGTGAGTCCTTGGAAGTGTACAGTCCTATGCACATACGAGTTCACTGCAGTTTTTCAGCTGTATGTGTTATGTTTGTGAATGGGGCCAGGAGGCCCAGTCCTCTGCAATTTTGAACACCCAAGAGGTGAGCAATGGTGGAAAACAGTACAAAAGGCACAACCCTGCAACAAGTGCTTAGGACAAAAGTAACAGTGTAATTAGCAGAAATTGTTATAGCAAACAAGATAAGAATATATGAATAGCCCAGTTTGAACAGAGATTGGTCTCATTCAGCATTCTGTTTCTAAGGTGACATAGCAGTTCATGCAATTGAATGCCAGTGATTCTGTTAGCATTTCTTTGCTCGACTTGTCTCTCTGCAAGCAGCCTGGTTCCTTTTCACTTTACATTAGGTAAAGGTTTCCCTTGCTTGAAAGCCAGTCGAATCCGACTCTAGGGATGCGGCGCTCATCTCTGTGCAATTTATGGCTTTCGAACTGCTAGGTTGGCAGGAGCTGGGACCAGAGATGGAAGCTCACTCCGTCTTGCGGCACTTGGGTCTCGAACTGCTGAACTACCGAGCTTCCGGCCTGCAGTTCAGCGTCTTAACCACTTGAGCCACCGCAGCCCTTTTCACTATGCATTATTGCTGTTTAAAAAGAACAAATATGGGGACTGTGAAATCTGTAGAGGAGGAGAAGTTCTGTTAATACCCTTTTTTTGCTTCTTGTTTTCAGATGCTGCAAGCTTTCTTCACAGATGTGCACAGAACTCGAGATTTAAATCATTCAACATTACTGCCAGATCTCTTGAACTAACAAATATGATCAAAGTTCCTGGAACTTCCCAAGAATTTTTAGTCCTTTACTTTGAAAACCCAAAGAATGGTGCAGGACAAGTGTCCAATATTGAAATGTGTCCTGGGGAGGATTCTGCCATTGTTACTTTTGATCACCACCAAGGTAATGTCACCTATTTATGTAGATGTCTCTTAAAAATTGTTAATTGTTGGGGTGGCTTGAAAAGAGAAGGTCTGTTATAAGTGGAGTTTGTGACTATTAGATATGTAGAATAATTCTGCTTGATGCCAGTAAGCGTTAAGAAGAGCCCTGCCTCATCAGACCAGTGGTCCATGTAGTCAAGTATACTCTTTCACACAGGGTCAACCAGTTGCCCTGGAAATCCAACAAACAGGGCCTAGAAGCCAAGGCCTTCCCCTGACATTGCCTCCTAGCACTGGGTTTCACGGATGTATTTATTTATTTAGGCATTTTTACCCCGCCCTCCCCGCTAGCGGGCTCAGGGCGGCTTACAAGGGGCATGAGCCCATACAGAAAACCAGATAAGACAATAAAATCATGAATAATAACAACAGTACAATAATAAAGTGCTTTCTGTAAACAAGATGGTCTTGAGTGGTTTTGATGGTATCCTCAAATCCTCCCCATTGGGGTGACACTGTCCAGTAGATAGTTCGAGCCAATCCCACATTGTCAGTGCCATGCAATTTATGGCGGAACTTCCAAGGGCAATTCCTAATCCCAATGGTATCGCCACCATTGGTGGTGGCAGCGGCGGCCCCTATGCGAAAGCCTGGCAGAAGAGCTCCGTCTTGCAGGCCCTGCGGAACTGCATAAGGTCCTGCAGTGCCCTGATCTCCTCCGGGAGCTCATTCCACCAGGTAGGGGCCACAACTGAGAAGGATCTGGCCCTGGTTGCAGCAAGCTTTACCTCCTTGGGGGCCTAGGATCACCAGGCGGTGTTGGGTCCCCGACCGAAGTGCTCTTGGGGGAGGTATATGTGGGACATGAAGGTCCGCTTGAGAAGCCATAGCTGATGGACCTCTCCATAATTCTGTCTCAACCCCCTTTTAAACTCATCTGCGCTCAGACTATAAAGGCCTCCACTACCAGTGAATTCTGCAATGTAATTACTCAAGAAAAGCCACAATACTGTGCTGATCACTGCAAGTCCAAATGGATGGGCAGAATTTGCATGGGAGACCAAAAAAAAAAAACCCAGTATGCCACTTGTAGCAGCGCAATCTGTGACTTCAAGCCAAATATGACCAGCCAGACATAGAGTCAGTGTGGTGTAGTGGTTGGACTATGATCTGGAAGACCTGGGTTTGAATCCCCACCCCCAGCCATGGAGCTCACTGGGTGATTTTGGGCCAGTTCTGTCTCAGCCTAACCTACCTCATGGGATTGTAGTTAAGAGAAAATGAGGAAGAGACAGCAGTGTACACAATTGTGAGCTCCTTGGAGGAAGGGAAGGATAAAATGTATTAGATAATTATGGCATGTCATGTGTGTAAAGATATTTGAATGTGCTATCCAAGCATTCTGCTCTGTTCTTCCCAGGAATTTTGATGCTGCCAATTGGCAAATATATTTGGAATTCCCTGATCAGTCCCTTTCAGTCTGGATTTGGCCTGATCAGTGAATTCACTAAACAATTCAATTTATTTCACTCTCTTAATACATAAAGGTAAACGTAAAGGTCCCCTTGCTCGAAAGCCAGTCGAATCCGACTCTAGGGTTGCGGTGCTCATCTCCGTTTCAAAGCCGAAGAGCCAGCGCTGTCCAAAGACATCTCCGTGGTCATGTGGCCGGCATGACTAAACACCAAGGCGCACGGAACGCTGTTTCCTTCCCACCAAAGTGGTCCCTATTTATCTACTTGCAATTTCTTGAAACAGCTTCCAGCTCAAGGTCTGGAGCATGGGAAAGCTGTGAGCCAAGCTGCAGTCCTCATGCTAGGTATGGAAGTAAAGGGCCCATTTTCTCCAGCATCCCTCCACACCTTTCTCTGCAGACTGTACACTCTCATCCCAGCACCCAAGGCAAGAGCAGACTGGCTGCAGAGAAGAGAGAGTAAAAAAACCATCACAGCAACCACCCAGGAAAAGAGCAGGCTGGTCACAGTGGGGTGGTAGGGGTTTGACTCAACCTTTCTCCACGACCAGCTTGTTCTCCTCTCTGGGCTTCTTGACACTCTCATTCTCTTGCCTGACCTGCTACACGTCATGCTGAAGGGAGAGTGCAAAGACAAAGTCCTGGCAAAGGTTCAGCCATGGTGGGGTTAACCACTTGAGCCACCGCAGGTCCTTAATACATAAACACATTCTTTTTCTCAGCCTAAAAAGAAATTAAATCCATGTGGTTTCTTTGAACATCATAGGAGTGAACATTATAGCTTAGAAAATCAACTAATGTGATCAAGATATGACACATTCTTTGCTTGACTGAGCAGTTCCCTTTCCACTAGTGACTAGAGGGCTTGTATTTTTCTGAACTACTTCCTGATCATATGATTTCATGGGCATGATTTCTGTATCTGCAGACTTCTCCTTAACTCATTCTAGCGCAATGCCATTTCTGTTTGAAGGGGTTTAGAACTTGCCACTAAGAAGTTCCAGATTCTGCGAATATAGTTTGTATTTAGCAATTGAAATAAGTGGTGGATATTAGGCAGAGCTGTGGTGGCTCAAGTGGTTAAGACACTGAACTGCAGGCTGTGGAAGGTCAGTAGTTCAGCAGTTCGAGACCCGAGTGTGCCGCATGATGGAGTGAGCTCCCGTCTCTAGTTCCAGCTCCTGCCAACCTAGCAGTTCGAAAGCAAGAAATTGCAAGTAGATAAATAGGTACCACTTCAGTGGGAAGGTAACAGCGTTCTGTGCGCCTTGGTGTTTAGTCATGCCGGCCACATGACCACGGAAACGTCTCTGGACAGCGCTGGCTCTTCGGCTTTGAAACTGAGATGAGCACTGCAACCCTAGAGTCGGATTCGACTGGCTTTCGAGCAAGGGAACCTTTACCTATTAGGCAGATTTGGCTCAGATTTTTAATTTAGTTGAACTGGACATTGGGAAGCATAACAGAGGGGAATGGGCACGAGGTATACCAAAGCAGAATGGATGCAGGGATACACTTGGAGGCACTGGAAGCTGTAGGAAGATGAGCTATGCATGTTTCACCTGCTGCTTATTTGCTACAAGCTTCCTTGCCTACTCATGAAAGCTGAAAAATTGTGGGTTTTTTTTCTTTTTACAAATACAAAATTATTTCAGATTCTAGATTTAGGATGCTTCTAGATCACAAAAAGCATACTGATCTCCGTGTCTTTCCAATTTTAGCAGCACCTGTAGTAAAACTGAAATGATAAAAAGCAGGTGCCTTTCTTGTTTTTCAAATGCTGGAAAAGCAGTAGCCTTAATCTCAGTGTTAATTGCATAATATGTAGTCTCATGCAATTGATCATGTTCTTCAAAAGGAGCAGCTATGCTGGGGAATCTTGAGCCACCCACTCCTCTCCCTTTAACAAGAGCCGTCTCTGCAGCTCCTAGGGCTGTGGCTCGGGAGCCTCACGTGGCTTTTTGACTGGCCACCTGTGGCTCTTCTGAGCACTGTTTCCCATTGTGGCACCTAGAGATGTGAAGGCCCGGAAAAAAACCGGAAAAGTTCGGGGGAAAACCGTCCGTCCCCCACCCCCCGGTTTTTCCCTGAAGCTTTTTTTTTTTGTTTTTTCCGAAAAATTGAAAAAATTGAAACAAGAAAAGAAAAAAAATGATTATGGAACGTTTTATTTTAACATGATGAATAAAATATTTTAAGACGAGGGTGTTCAAATATTTTCCAAATCATTTCTAAAAAATATGTATGGTATCAGATTGATCTAATTTCTGTGCACTGAGGACAAGCAAGTCCTAGGTTACAAACTGAACTCTCCAATGCAAGAACAAGATGCATTTCTTTCATTTGGAGGTGCTGTTGTCACAAGAAAAGAAAAAGGTTTCAGTTTTGTTTTTGCATGTGGGTGGGTATTCTGTTTGTAATAATTGTTTGGATACACTATATTTTAATATGCTAGTTGTGATAATTTCATGCCAAGTAAAAATGTCCATAGTCATATTTTATGTTCCTAAACTAACAGAATGACTTTCAATCTGGAAAAGAAAAAAGAAGTGCTAATGTAGCATTTTTTCAATTTTTCTGAAAATTTTCGTTTTTCCCTGAAAAAAAAACATTTTTTTCCGAGCTTCAAATCTAGGTTACAAACTGAACTCTCCAATGCAAGAACAGGATGCATTTCTTCCTTTAGGAGGTGCGATTGTCACAAGAAAATAAAAAGGTTTCAGTTTTGTTTTTGCATGTGGGTGGGAAGTCTGTTTGTAATAATTGTTTGGATACACTATATTTTTAATATACTAGTTGTGGTAATTTCATGCCAAGTAAAAATGTCCATAGTCATATTTTATGTTCCTAAACTAACAGAATGACTTTCAATCTGGAAAAGAAAAAAGAAGTGCTAATGTAGCATTTTTTCAATTTTTCTGAAAATTTTCGTTTTTCCCTGAAAAAAAAACATTTTTTTCCGAGCTTCAAAATTTCCGGAAATTATACCTCTAGTGGCACCCTCCCCTGTGTCACAGGAAAGGGGTGGGGTTTGTGTTTGCCTGGGGGTTTCCCCCTTGAAACAGGCTCCAGTTCAAGGCCTGGAGCATGGGAAAGCTGTGAGCCAAGCCGCAGCCCTCATGCTAGGTATGGAAGTACATAAGAACATAAGAACATAATTAGTTGAGACTTGTGTAGTTGTAGAGTGGTACCTTACTTTGCATTAATGCTGAGTTAGAGTGAGCTAGCTCACAGTTTTTTAGCCTCTGGCTCACACATTCTTTTTTTGGTGCAATTGCAAAACAGATGTTGCTGCAGTTAATGTTGCAAGAAGCTGATATTAAATCTCTTTGACAAATATTTTTGCAGTTGAGATTTGTGTAGTTGTAGAGTGGAACCTTACCTTGCATTAATGCAGTACGATTCATTTTTTAACTTGTGGTTATATTTGAATGGGAATCAGGGAAATTGACCAATGTTGGTCAGGGAAAGTCAGGCAAATGAAAAATAAAATTTTAGTGGCAACCCTGCATGTTGCTCTTTTGATTGATAGTAACTGTGAGTGTGGTTCTCCACAAGCCACAGAGTGTGTTGGCGGAACCTACAAACCACTCCTTTCCATGTATGTAAGGTCCTCCTCTTCTGCTTCCACTGCTGGTATTCAACATAAGAGAGTGGTCATTCTCCTTCGTGCTGTCGCTAATGGTGAAAATCTTGTCAGCTGCATTCCTTGCAGTAAGAGCTTCCACACCGTTGTTTGTGGAGGGAGGAGCTATAGTGAGGCTCCCAGTAGAGGAAAACTACATCTATTTTTTTCCCTTCTCCTTCAGAGGGGGGGGGGGGGGAGCAGCTGTGAGTAGGTGAAGGAGAGCTGGCAGGAGGGAAAGAAGAGAGGAAAGAATGGGCGGGAAATTAGGCAAAGAGATGGGGAGTAATAAAGATGGGGGGGAAGGGGAATGATACGCGGGGGTGGGAAATAAAAGAGCAGGAAGAAAGTTGGGCAAGCAGTTTGGAGCCAAATGGGAGAAAGCTGGGGCTAACTGGGAGGGAAACAATGGGATTGAGAGCCAGTTTGGTGTAGTGGTTAAGTGCGCGGACTCTAATCTGGGAGAACCGGGTTTGATTCCCCACTCCTCCACTTGCACCTGGCTGGATGACCTTGGGCAAGCCGTAGTTCTGATAAGAGCTGTCCTTAAAAAAGAGCAGTTTCTGTCAGAGCTTTCTCAGCCCCACCCACCTCACAGGGTGTCTGTTGTGGGGAGGGGAAGGGGAAGGAGTTTGTAAGCCGCTCTGAGACACCTTTGGGTAGTGAAGGGTGGGTATAAATCCAGTCTCCTCCTCCTCTTCTGTCTCTGTTCCCAGTTGATTTCTAATTGTATGCATTTACAAATGTAATTTATATGTAGATGATCCAGTTTTAGAGAGCCAGTTTGATGTAGTGGTTAAGTGCGCGGACTCTAAGCTGGGAGAACCGGGTTTGATTCCCCACTCCTCCACTTGCACCTGGCTGGATAACCTTGGGCAAGCCATAGTTCTGTCAGAGCTGTTCTTGAAAAAGAGCAGTTTCTGTCAGAGCTCTCTCAGCCCCACCTACCTCACAGGGTGTCTTTTGCGGGGAGGGGAAGGGAAAGGAGTTTGTAAGCTGCTCTGAGACTCCTTTGGGTAGTGAAGGGCGGGGTATAAATCCAATCTCTTCTTCTTTGAAAATGAAACTGAAAAGACTTTCTCTTTTTTCCACAAGGTTTTCCCCCTGCAGTTTCTAGACAAAATGTACAAATCAAGTGTCAAGTTCATACCATTTATGCTTAGAAAAACTACATTAGGACTTGGTGCTTTTGCTCTGAGAACTCCATAGTAAAAAGATAGCATTGAGGAATAGTTAATGTTAGAGGAGCAGGTAGTCAGTGGAAAGACACGGTTGTATACAATTTTTATTAATTTATTAATTAAACAAATACACAATCACCAAGCACATCACAAACCACCACTCAATATTATCTGTTCAAAGCTCAAATGACTGAAGTTCTTTTGGAAGGTTGCACTGCAATGCATACTTGCCTGGGAGTAAATCCCACTGACCAAGCTGTGATTTAAGTAAACGTGTACTGGACTGTTTTGCACAGCTTCCAAAATTATGCCCCCCCAGATGATACTTGGATAGACTGGCAGTGCACCACTTTAGACAAAACGTCATCTTGATTCTCAGTTGTAAAAACTGGAGCGAATGGTACAACATCAGAGAAAAAGCAGTTTTGTTGTGGATGTGGGCTAATAAACTGAAGCTTAATCCCAACAAGATGAAAGTGTCATTGATGACCTGACACAGGATTTAAGGCTTGTAGTCTGTGGGTGCTCTTTGGACCCAGGCCTACTGCTGCGTACGCCGGTGGCAACGATGGCTAGGAGTACCTTTTACCAGCTTCAGCTGGGTAGCCAGCTGCAACCTTTCCTGGGTAGAAAAGATCTGGCCACTTTGGTACATGTCCTGGTTACGTCTAGGCTAGATTATTGCAGTGTGCTCTTCACTGGGCTGCTATTGAGAAGTGTTTGGAAACTTCACTTGGTTTAAGATACTGCCCCCACTTTCTGAGATTAGGCAGGAGAAGGCCTTCTTGGTTGTGGCACCAAAACTCTGAAGCTCTCCCCAAGGAGACTTGTCTGTCCTCTTTGGTTGCCATCTTCCCTCAGTGGGTAAAGATTTTGTTGTTGTTGTTGTTGATGTTCCCTTGGTGATTGGTCTTTCCTGTTTAATTATTGTTTTTGTGGTTGTTGGGTTTTTTGCATTTTAGCTCTGGTTTTAATTATGTGTTCTTGTGGGGTTTTAAGATGTGATAATACGTATGTATTTGTTTAGCTGCCTTGGCGGCCCTTATGAGGACAGAAAGGTGGGGGTATACATTTTGTAAACTGAACTGTGGCAGCATCCTCAGACATCATGATTCTGTGCAGATTTGACCAAAAAAAAATATTGACCTTGAATACTTCCGTTTAATGATTTTGTTCTACATGGCCAACTGGATGCCCCCAATTTTGGGGGAACATTATTTGAGTATGACTCACAGGCTCCCTTTGAGCTGAAACAAAATGAACCCCTCCTTTATTCTGGCTGAAAGGGGAAACTGCAGAATGCCTGCAGGTGAGCCCTTGTGTGGTTCCCTCAGCTGACCCGGGGAGGGGGCAGAACTGAGATCCACCTTCAGAATGGTGAAGCTGTCAATAAACATAATGCTTACATTGTTCTTTCTGCTTAAACTGCCTGAATATTTTCCTGTTTCTGTTTTTTTCAGTTGTGCAGATAGTACTGGAAAAGAAACATTCTTTTAGAAGTCAGCCATTGTCGGTTTACCCATACTATAGTTCTTTGGACACAGTTTTATATGGAAAGGAGAGGCCACAGATCAAAATGCCAGAGCCGGTCAGTGTCCCCTTAGATCCTTATATCTGGCAGTTCATACAGACACAGCCTAAACTACTGGAGGAGATAAATAAGGAAATGGCACATTGTTACTGTGAACTAACGTGGCCTCAAGTGACTTGCCAGCACCCGGAGGTCATGATATGTCCTTCAGCTGCCTTACCTAAGCAAAAAGGGTCTGTGTTGAAATCCATCAAGGGCTGGAAAGACAAGGCTTCTATGGAGTTTACATGCATCATGTCAAAGTTCAAGACCGCTAAATGTAAAATAATCTCAACAGCATGGGACACCATAAAGACTACTTTGATAAAGGGTGATGTTTTGGCCATTCCAGATGTTCGCAAAGAAACTGTTACTCTGGCAGGTTTCGTATTCACTGTAGATGGCGTGGAGAAGATGATACAAGAACACGTAGAAAATGTCACCAAAGACGAGGAAAGAGCAAAACAAACTATAGAAGAAACTGTGTCAGTCACTCCAGCCAAATATGCTGTTTTGCACCGTGTGTTGCTAGAAGAGAATGTCTATAAAAACAACCCAGATTTAAAACTCCTTTATAATCCTTCAGCGAAGATTCTGCGGCTACATGGAATAAATACAGAAGTGTATAAAATGAAAAGCATCGTGCTGGAGAGGTTGCACAAAATGGAAGAGAAAAAAATCAACGTTCACTCGAGTGTTTTTCAGTTCCTACAGCATGCAAATAGCAAACAGGCGTCCGTGAAAATATTTGGTGCCAATAAAATTAATGCTTCCTATGAGCTTGCTCCTGATTGTGTTGTGCTGGTAGGATGTTCTCCTGAAGTTCTCTGGAATGCAGAGGAACAGATGAAGAAAGACTTGGATCAGAAACAGATTACTTTAGAGAACCAAGAAATTATCAAGAAAAGGGAGTGGAAAGAATTAATTAGAGAATTGCAGAGGAAGCACAATTCTTCTGAAGAAGCTGTCATAATTGATGACTGTCTTGTTTTGGGGCAAGATGGAAAGGTAACTATAGCTGGCTACACAAAAATTGTAACAGAAGTTTATCAGGAGCTGTTTCAGTTTGTTGAAAGAAACACTCATGTGATAAAAGAAATTTCAGCCAAGTGTGTGGCGGTTGTGAAGTTTGTGGAGAAGGAAAAGAAAGAATTTTGGTCCAGCTTGAGGAAGAAAGGTGTGAAAATTGAGTTTGGCCCACAGGCTAAATATAAGAGCATTGTGCTGAGTGGATCCAAAGCAGAGGTCCTGGCTGCAACTGCTAAGGTTGGACAATTGCTGTCTTTGGTGTATTCTCTCTGTGTGGTAATTGATAAACCAGGAGCAAAATCATTTTTCGGAAACCGAGAATATTCCTACATTAGTGAAGCCAAAGAAAACTTTGGCTGTTTGATCAGACTGCAGAAAGAAGAAGAAGATATTGAGGGCTCTAAGGAGAAGATAGGTCACCCCCACTCTGAAATAAAGTTAAAAGATGGTGTTGTGATAACCGTTCGTAAGGGTGACTTGACCCATTATCCAGTTGATGTTGTAGTGAATGCATCGAATGAAGAACTAAAGCATATTGGGGGCCTTGCTGAAGCTTTGTTAAAAGCAGCGGGCCGTGAACTGCAAAGAGAATGTGATGAACATGTGAGAAACTATGGACGGTTGAAGCCCGGCTATGCGGTTATCACAGGTGCTGGGAATCTTCCGTGTAAACAGGTAATTCATGCTGTTGGACCAAGGTGGAAGAATGAAGAAAGAGCAAAATGTACAGTACAGTTAAAGAAAGCTGTGAAGGAAAGTCTGCGTCTGGCAGAAACATACAATCATCGCTCGATAGCCATCCCTGCCATTAGCTCTGGAATCTTTGGGTTCCCATTGAAAGAATGTGCCTGTTCCATTGTGACAGCCATCAAAGAGAGCTTGGAAGAATCTAGTGAGAATGGATGTGTGAAAAAGATCTGCCTTGTGGATATGTCAGATAAAACAATTCTGGCTTTCGCTGACGCCTTGAATGAAGTGTTCAGAGAGAGATCTCCCCAACCCAAATCACCAGCGCCTCCCCACAAGGAGAAGCCGCCCAGATCCATCAGAGAAGACGTTCCTGTGGTGTTTTCTGCTGAAGGCTTGAAACTCATACTTGTGGAAAAAGGCATTGAAGATGCTGTGGTGAGTATGTAAATGGTCATACAAGTCATTTTCAAATTAATGCTTGAAAACAACTTGTGGTGGTTTTTTTTTTAAATGAGAAGTTAATAGATCGGGGTCCCCAACCTTGTTGAGCTTGTGGACTGTTTTGGAACCTTGAGAATGCGAGTGCCACTACAAAATGGCTTCTATGGGGGCGGCGGGTGCCAGTCACAAAAATATTGTAAGTTCCAAACCAAGCATCATCCCACGATGGAGATGGCTGTTTCAAAATAGGTGCTCCCTGCAAAGACAAAGGTGATGCCTCCTGAACTCTTCTGAAGCACTTCCTGTTCCACTGAGGTGGAGGAAAGCTAGATTTAGCTGCTTGCTTTGTGGAAGAATTAAGTGGGTTTTCTGCGGCATATCAGTGAGCATCATGGTGCCCACAGGAACTGCACTAAATTGAGCTTTTTCCAAGGCTGTTATCTTTAGATGGGTGACTTTTTGCCTGAGTTACGTGCACTAACTCTGTGGACAAGTGCTATACATTGTTTGCCTTAGAAACAAATAACTTTCCTAGCTGACTTGAGGTAAAGAGATAGTAATCGCTTGTACACATTATGCTACTTTGTAGCAGTCCCATGTAAATCAAATGAGGGTGGTACCAAACTGTTTTTCAGGCACTCTTGGTGCTAACTGTGGTTTGCTGTGACATCTAAATTCACAGTCCACAGTTGGTTGAGTGGCCTTCTCCCTTGTGGCTTCCTAGCTACAGACACAGCTGTGTCCCCTCAACTGAAGGTAACCCGCCCTGAGCCCGTTTACGGGATAGGCGGGATATAAATGCGAAAAATAAAATAAATAAATAAAGGTGTATAAGATACAAAAAGTGAAAAAAACCAAGTTTTGCACAAAGCGAGTGGATGCAAAACCCATGGTTTATTGTAATATTTGAATGCATCCGTAATGTTTCAGTAAAGTTCACACATCAGTATTTTTAATCTGGTGTTAAAACATGATGGTTTGCCTGTCAAAAATACATGGATGATTGAGTAATAGTCCAATCAGGTGTCTTCTGGGATGAAGGAAAGTGTCCTTGCAGGATCAGACTCAAGGTATGCGTAATCCAACACTTTGATTCCATTTCCACCACTGGTCAGCCAAACCCTGGAAAATTTACAACCAAGGCATGAAAAAACCCACTCTTCCCAATTGTTGGTCACCAGCATCTGGTAGTTCAGTGATACGCAGCACCATATTCAGAATCAGTAGCCATTGCTAGACATGCTCCTCATGATTTTGACTCACTTCTTTTTGAAAAACAGTGTGAGTAATTCACCATGACCGAATGGTGTGGGATTACGTTGTGCGGAGAAATGCCTTTGTAGACCATGAACCTGCTGCCAGCGGACGTCAGCGGATAACGCCAACTTTTGGGATTCAGAGACAGATAATATTTTCTCTTTACTGTCCCCACACCTTTCATAATTTTGCAAACCTCTATTATATCCTGTCACTCAGGTGTAATTTTCTAATGTTCCAAATCCCAAACTCTTTTATCTTCAAAGAAAAATTATGCAATGTTGTGCATCATGTTGGTCGCCCCTCTTGGCACCTCATTCGGGTTTGATATGGCTGACTAAAGTGCTCCAAATGTGGGAGTTCCATAAAGGTTATCAGTTAACTTTCTGTGTTCTATTTTCAGTTCCTTTTCTGATGATTCCTAACATTAGTTTGGCTTTTATTAAATCTTTTTTTCACTGATGTTCTTTTTCTCTGATGCAAGGAGCCTTCCTCTAGCACAGGACCCTCTTCTCCATCAGTGGAGGAAATTACTCTTGTATGGGCTTGTGGCTCCTCCGTGTTCCATGGGTAGGGCATATGACATTTTTTGGCAAGAATTTCCACTGTCCTGAGAACCATACATACATACCTGTCAGTATAAGCCCTGCTCACTCCATGGAGGGATGAGCTTCTGTAGGTCTCTAGCCTGTTTTAGGAACAAGCTAGAGAAAATGCTGAAACAACTGAAGAAATCAACAGTGGGTCTCCCTACTTAGCTAGCAGCAGTGGGGGCAAAGAAGAAGAAGCTGTCTCGGATGGAAAAGTGCCCGAAGGCAACAACTGGTGCCCAGCTTCCGCAACAGGATGGCATCCCTGTTTCACCTTCTGAGGCCCTGGGATAAGCTTCTGCGGGGGCAGCTGGCACTCTCTTCTTCCTCGTCAAAGTACCGGCAGGGATGGGAAGCGGACAAGCAGCCCCTCTTGTGTTCCAAAACACCAGTGGCAGATGGGCCTGTCAGCAGACTCTCATAGCTTGTCTGAGCCAGCACCTCTCATCGTGTTGATTTTGCTAGTCCAAGAGGCCTCAGCAAGTATCAGTGCCAAAAGGGGGCTCCCCCCCCCCGGCCTCAGTTGTAGGAAGGCATCACAGAGACAGTGGGTGGCTTCTTTTGCCTTTGCCCTCTTTGCCATTGACATGACCACTCTACCTGGACCTCTGTGCCTACATTACTAAGAATGTGGTGAAGGACATTAAACAGAATGTGAAGGGGGAAAGGCACAAAAAAGGGGAAATCATAGCTGGAGGGACAAGGATTCCTCTCCCCCCTCTCTCTACTCCTCTTCTCCCCCTCCCCAGAAGGAGGCAGAAAGGGACCCGGCAGGTGCCAGTGCCTGTCCTGTGAGGAATCTGGCTCTGACTGCGTGGTTTAATAATATGAGAAAGAAGGGAAAAAAACAGAAATAATATGCAGAATAGAAATCTAAATTAAAAAACTTTTCAAATGCGACTCCCGCAATCTAAGAATCAATGCACAGAACTCAGCAACGGAATGCGTAATCTCTGCGTTCTTATCTGATAGAAGCCAGTGAAGCCTTGCTTTGTTTGTATTAATGTGACCAGGTATTCTATCAACTAATGGGGTAATCATTTTAAGACGAGCCTATCTGTAGAATGGGCAACTGAAAAACACATGCTCTACCGATTCAGCTTCACATGAAGTGCATGAACATAGCCTTTCGGTGTAGGGGTTTTTATTGTACCTGCCTTGAATAACCACAAAGGGAAGGGTAGAACATCTGGCTAGGGCAAATGCCCTTCTAGAGTTCTTTCCCTCCACTGAAATCAAATATGGAGCCGGCTCAATGGTGCTCTTGATATTTAGCAACACCCCGAGTTTTGAAACCTTCGTGATATCATTCAGTATCCTCAACTCTTTGTTTAATTAGCCCTTTGGCTTGTTCAGGCCCATAGGATAAAAATAACTGAGGTGAAAAGCCAATTCTATGAATATGAAAGTAAACCTGCCTTAATCCAACTAGATTTGTAATCGTCCTGGAATATCAGGGGAAGCGAGCCTTGTGGGTCTTCCTGCGTGGAGCCCAGAACCACTGGTAGAGCCACCCATCACAGCTCTTCTTTTTCTGGGCCCAGCAGACCATGAGGTCAGCACTTATCCCCCCCCTACCCTTGGTCTGCAGAGCTAGACACTGACACCTCTGGCCATTCAGACGCAGTGTACTCCAACTCTGCTTCAGATTCCATTGCTTCAGATAAAGAACAGGGAGAGTGGTTGGGGGAAGAAACAACTTCTTCTGGCCCTGCTTCTACCAGGCTGTTCCAGTGGAAGGATTTTCCGCACCTTTGGGAAATGTCTGGACCAGTGTTCCCTCTAAGCTGAGTTAGTGTGAGCTGGCTCACAGTTTTTGAGCCTCCAGCTCACACATTTTTGCCTTCGCTCAGGAAGGAGGGCTCCAGAGCAAACTAATTTATGCAGTAGCCACATGGCTCGCTCACCACTTTAATGCCAGTAGCTCACAAAGTAGAATTTTTGCTCACAAGACTCCACAGCTTAGAGGGAGCATTGGTCTGGACACGACTAAGATTGTCAGGACAAGCTACCCCCAGGGCTCCTCAAAGTACCTCTAGTGGGACATGCGAGGATTGCCTGCCTGCCTGCCAACCAGCCCCGAAACCCATCATCTTTCCTTTTCCAGACTCCTTTGACGAGTTCCTCAGAAGTGAGTGGGCTTCTCTGTGCAAAGGGAGAAGTTTATCCTCAGTTGCAAAAAGAATGTACACTATTGCCACCTCCACTGTGAAAGCCCTAAAGGTACTTCTAGGAGATGCCCAGGTTACCAGTCTTGTTTCCGGGGTGATTTTCCCCAACGACTGGGACAACATTCCATGAAACTGCAGAGCGGCCGGGTTAGAACGGATAAAAGGAAGTACTTCTTCACCCAAAGAGTGATTAGCACATGGAATTCACTGCCACAGGAGGTGGTGGCGGCTACACGCATGGACAGCTTCAGAAGGGAATTAGATAAGCATATGGAGCAGAGGTCCATCTGTGGCTATTAGCCACAAGGTATAGATAGGGGCTTTGGGGCAAGTGATGCTCTGTCTTCTTGGTGCTTGGGGGGGGGGTCAACAGTGGGAGGGCTTCTAATGTCCTGGCCCCACTGATGGCACTGGTATTTCTGGCCACTGTGTGACACAGAGTGTTGGACTGGATGGGCCTTTGGCCTGATCCAACATTGGCGTCTCTTATGTTCTTATGTTGAACACCCACAGAGGCCAAAGTGACAGAAAAGCCCATGAGGCCCCGGGCCCTTGCCGTCAGAGCAGCCATCCTCTAGGCAGAGGGACTCTTCCAGGATCCAGCCTCTCACCCTGTTCGGCTCAAACAGAATCTGCTTAAAATCAAGAGAGCCTTGGAATTCGCTGCAGATGCCGGGCTGGACATCATGCAGTTCTGTGCTTGCTCCTTAGCCCCCAACATTATTATTCACCATAACGCTGCAAGGTAGATCACCTTTCCGAGAAAAAACTCTTTATTGCCCCTTACCGGCAAAAGAAACTCTTTGGGGACAGAGCACAGGATGAAGTCATGGTGGGGACCAAGGAGAAGAAGAAAGCTATGCCAAATTCTTTCAGAAAAGATGACAACAGATCCAGCAGCTCAGGCCAGAGTTTGTTCTGTGCATCCAGAGGTTCTTTCCATCGTAGAGACTTCCGATTCTGCAATCCAGTGCGGAACAGATCCCAATTCACCCCCAAGCCCACCTCCACATGTCAGGGCCCCTAGGCCAACAAGACCAGAAAGCCCTTCAGTTTCTGATAGGAGACTAACTTCAGGCCTTTGCCCAAACTTGGTTTTATTCCACCCAGGATGAGTGAGGGCCATGTCGTAGACCTCTGCCACTCCCCAAGAACAAGTTTCTGCCTTCCCCAAGATTCAGCAAGCCAGAATGACATCAGTTTATACTCCAAACCATCAGTCACCTGCTGGAGATTCAAATCATAAAACACGTACTGGTAGGGAAATTTTTCTTGGATCTACTCTTTCTTATTTATCATGCCCAAGAAAAACAACAATTGGAGGGCAGTTCTGGACCTAAAACAGCTTAACAGACTTTTGAGAAGGAGATTTTGCATGGAGACCTTCCACTCCATAGTAGGGGGTTCTCCAGGCGGGGGAGTTCTTAGCCACCATAGACCTTCAGGAGGCTTACTTACATGTTCGCATACATCCCATACAGCTCCAGAAAGTACTTTTGCTTTGCCTACAATCACCAACACTTTTATTTAGTTTGTTAGATTTTTATCCCGCCCTTCCCTGTACGTAGGCCTCAAGGGCAGCTTACAATAGATAATAAAACAAAAACAGTTAAAACACTATATGGGCTAAGCTATACAAGCAATAAATAAGTCCGCACACAAGGTGGCAAGTAGGTATAAACGCATAGTGCTTAGCCCATATTTATAACTACAAAAAGTAAAATACAAACTTGTTCAGTAGTAACTGATGATTCCTGTGTTTTATGTTGGGGAGCTGGAAAGCAGTGTGGCGTTACTTGGCAAGCGAGTCCTGCAAAGCGGTCAGTTGAGAAATTGTCTCCAAAAGAAATTTGAAAGCGGTCCCTGCTTCAAAAAGTTTGAGAGGCACTGGTCTAATTGTGTGGTGCTGGTATGTAATCTTATTGCAAGTATTTAGAGACTGCTTCTGTTTCAGACGGACGTCATCGTAGGCAGTGTCGGCGAAGATCTAAAGCTTGGTGTGGGTCCACTGTCCAAAGCTCTGCTGAGAAAGGCTGGCCGTCAGCTGCAAGATGAGTTTGATGACCAGGTGTTCCAACAAGGACAACAGGCCGGCTGCGTGATCCAAACCAGTGGATACAATCTGCCCTGCAAATCTGTGCTTCATGTTGTTGTTCCTTCATGGAATGCAGGGAAAGGAAATGGAATTCAGGTAACTGTTTCATTTCTTTGACAGTGCGAATTGTACTGAAATTCAAACCTTAAGGGCAGTAATGCAAAGAAGATTTGTTCGTACTGCAAATTAATAGTTGATGTCATTGTGATTTCATTGGTGCACGTTGACCACATCTGAGGCACATGTAGGAACAGCTTCTGATGCTTCTGTCTTGAACTCCTGCTGGATCAGACCGGGGGGGGGGGATCCAATCTTAATGACTTTTTAAGGTCTGTAGCAGGAGTACAGCAGCCAAAGCCTCCCCCTGCTTTTGCCCCTCAGCAACTGGCATTCAGAAGTGCACAGCCTGGGAACCCTGAAGACTTTCTGTAATCATAGCAAATAGCCAATGATGACTGTATACTCCATGCATTTATCTCACCCCCTTTTAAATCCTTCCAAACTTGTAGAAACCACCACATCTAGGGATGTGCACCCCCGAAAATGGCCTATTGGGACCCCTTTCAGGCTGCTGCAGGCCAATTCAGATTCTCTGATCTCTATTGGCTTGCCGCCGAATTTCGGCAGCAATTCGGCCCCATTATATCCTATGGGCCATTGAAGTCAATGGCAAAAATATAGGGTGTATTCTGAAGGCTGGAGGGGAGGGGGTTTGAGGGAGAGGCTCCAAACCCGCAGGGTAGCTGCTGGAGCCTCTCCCCAAGATACCAACCAAAGTTCAAGAACATTGGACCAGGGGGTCCAAATCTACGGGGCCCCAAACAGGTTGCCCCTATCCCCTCCATTGTAACTTTTTCCAACCATAGAGAACATACTTCCACCAGCTCACTTGAGAGATAAGTGTTGCACCTAATAAGCAGTGTTGCGCATAGAAAGGAATGACAGGGAAAAAAACAACACTCTCCCCACATCCATGACAGCATAGCTGACACCATTTCAGTGGGTGCCTCTGTTTTCACTTAATTTTGGAAAAGAGAAAAGGTCTTTATCCTCACCATTCATAATTGTATAAACCTCTCTCATGTCTTTAGCATTTTAAAGCTGAAATGCCCTCAACATTTTTAGCTTTCCAGCTTTGCTATATATTGTAGCATATTGATGCCACGTGCCTAGGGGAGTGCTTTTTTCTAGAACCTCTGTAGCTCTGTAGCTCAGAGATATATTTGATATTTTCAAAGGCAGAGCGCATACTTGGGATCATTTCACCATTTTCTTCCAGCATCCCATGCCCTCTATGGAAAGACAGCTTTATAGCTTTCGTACATTGAATGGAGTCAGCTGTGTAGATCAGTGCTGTGGAAAATACTGTGTTCATGTAAACCGAAGGGATCAGAAAAGTGCAAGTTTGTTGGAGAAGCGACAGCCTGCTAAGAGTTTAGTTACTGTAAATATGGCTGAAAGAGCTGAAAGAGCGGTTCAGTCCACTTGTACCCTAGGGGGAGCTGTGGTGCGTTCTCTAGTGTCTAGGGTTTGTTGAATATTTTCTCTTGCAGTTCAGCTTACCTCTTGTTGTTTTCTCTCTCTGCTGTGTGTGAGTATGTGTTAGTGCTTTGTGCTCCGAAGGCCTCTCTATTGCATTAGTGGCCTGCACTCAGTTATTGTCTTTTTGCAAAATCCAGTTGCAGTAAATTCATTGAAAGCAAACTCCAAAGCATGGATTAAATTACTTCCTGAACTCTGCCAACACAAACAGTATATCAGATCTTCTAAGGGCCAGTCTGTGTGCTTAGAATGAATAATTGGTACATTTTTCTACAGCCGTACTCGTTCAGGTTGGGGAAAAGTCAAATGTTCTATCTATACACCAACGCAGTGTGTGGAGAAATTGAGCGTGTGAGGAAAAAAAATTCTGGTCTAACCTGCTCTCTAACGTGTTACTCTTCATTATGCAGAAGATTATTTTTTTTTTTGCATGTGATTTCCCCTACCTGTGTTCTGAGGTGATACGATTCCAATGTGACCCCCTTTTGGGCCAATCTGATGAGCATAAAATTAGTTCTTTATTGTCTTCGCATAATATAGAAATTCTGGAACTTGTAGCAAATTTCTTTTATGAGGTATCTAGGAGGAGAGGCTCATATTAAGGCAATTCGGAATGTGATACCCCTCCAGCCTATCTTGACGCTCTATGCTGCATGTCTATTTGATATTTTATGCCAATAAAGGTATTGTATTTGTATTTGATTCCAATGTCCAGTTTCTTCGGGACATGCATAGCATCTCTTAAGTGAAAGGTGTATGGACATGCCCTTAACACCATATTAAGAAGAATTTATTAATGTCAAAAGAAACAGAAAAAGCAAAAGCATATTATTCTGCAATTAATCATATTTGTTGAAATCTGCTGTACACTGTATAGGTTCTTCGAGATATTGTGAAAGAATGCCTGGAGAAAACAGAAGCACTGTCTTTAAATTCTATCTCATTCCCAGCACTTGGGACTGGAGGGTTTGGCTTTCCTAAGTCTGAAGTCGCAAAATTAATGTTTGAGGAGGTGCTTCAGTTCAGTAGCAGGAAGAATCTGAAGTCTCTTCAGGAAGTTCATTTTCTTTTGCATCCAAGTGATGAAAAAAACATAAAGGTAATGTTACTACTTTCCTTTTACAGATTGTTTTAAATGCTGATTAGCAGAATGCTTTACGCAGGCCCCGGTCACACGGGCCGGAAAATGCGGGGGGGAAGCATGGCTGTTTGCCCTGGAACAAAGTAACATGCGGCAGCCCGATCAGATGTCCCGTCGAGGTCCCGTGGTTAGGCCCTTAGGTGCCAATCACACGGCTATTCTGCAGCGCGTCAAGGAAGCGGCGCGATCACACCGGCAATCGCTAGGCGCCGCTTCCGTGGCAAATGAGATTTTTTTTGGTCTCACCGAAGTTTGCGCATGTGCATGATTGTTTGTGCGCATCCTGTGGGTACTTAAAAAAAACACAACATCCGGTTTGCAACGGGACATGAGCGGGCGCCAGATGCCACGGGATTCCAGTGGAAATGTGATCAGACGCCTGCTTTTGCCCCGCGTTTTCTGGAAACTAGTACATTGTATGTGGTGGTTTTTTACTCCGCATCTTCGGCAACAAGCCACGGGTTAGCCATGGGTGCACTACGCTTCCCAGATGTTGCGGTGTGATCGTGCCCGGAAAATCTTCCTATCATCCATGTCTTCAGCGTGGCAACTTTTCCATGTGAACGGGGCCACAATTGCCTTAGAATGTTTAACTAGTGGTTTGTATCCTGCCACTCCATTTGGCATTGTTTGAAGCCTTCCTCTGACAAAGTTGGTTTTTCCACTAGCGGAAGTTGAAGGAAGGTTCATTAAGGAAGGAACTGAAGGAAGTCTTCAGACTTTGCGTAGTGGAAGATTCAAACCAATATATCTGTCATTTTTTTTCTTGTCCTTCTTACAAGTAACTCAGGAGATCATACGTCGTTTTATTCTTCTTCATTTCTGGAATCCTATAGGTGACTTTGGTTTTCTTTCTAGGCATTTTATGAGGTGTTTGAATCCAGGATTGGGAAAAGTCCCACGCTTGGGACCCCAAATGATGGAAAAAGTGCAGGCAAGTGGATTTGTTCAATTGGAGTCCAATTTTTAATCTTTAACCTTCTCGATTGTCAGTTCCATAGGGCTGATAAGTTAGACTGTCATAGGAAACAAAGAATGTGTGAATTTTCATGAAGTAGAGGCCACTTCATCAAATACATGAAGTGTTATCCTCTGTTGGCAGATGAGTGTACATATAGAGGAAAAAAGTTTAGAAACAGTGGAGCTCAAAAACAATGAAATGTAAAAAGTAGAAGATCTGTTATATTTCACCATAGAATCAAATGTATACAAGTATACATATATTCAGGGACCATCCTGTTTTCATGGAGCACTTTACTTTTATCTGTGTTATCTAATGGTTTTATTGCTTTTATTATGTTTTACGTGGGCTCTGCCCCTTGTAAGCAGCCCTGAGCCCACTCACGGGGAGGGTGGGGTAAAAATGCCAAAAATAAATAAAAAAATAAAATAAATAAGATCAGAACAAATAAAACGATGAGACTTTAAGGCAGCTCTTGATTAGGTAGATAGAAGAGTTGCTAAATAAAATTGAAGTGTACGTCATCTGCTATGTCTGTACAGCAACTGCCATGAATCTGCCGAAGACCAGGACTGAAAGTCTGAATAACAAACCTATGGAATAATAAGAAAAACCCTTGTATTTGAAGGTTTCAAAAATATGGACACATGTTATATGTTTTAGTCAAGAACTCGGTGCTTTTGCTAGGTCATACAATTTCTTGTTTCCTTTACAGGTTTCTTTGGACCCATTTCAACCCCAGTTTTGGGAATTCATGAAATGCAGATTGGAATGATTAAATTACAGGTTGCCACAGGAGATATAACAAAGGAGAATACAGATGTTATTGTAAATATATCAAATGCAAATTTTAATGCCAAATCAGGTATTTAAAATAAAAAAAACCCTTTCTATTGATTTGAATGTACATTGAGGACTCTCATTTTGTTATGCAAAAGGTTAGGTTGTGTTTGTAGGTCTTAGAGAGAGACGTCTACACTGGAGGAATTTGAAATTGCCTATTGGTACTTTCACCACCATGCAGATCTCTTCAAAGCAGAATAAAGTAAAGCACAAAGATCCAGGGAGTAATTTGATGTGGATGTTCATATACAGATCTGCACAGATGCAGATTCCATTCCTTGCCACACATACTTGATGAAGTTTTTAAAATATATTATTCTTTGTGTTTCTTCTTTGTTTTATGTCATGGTTACTGCTAGGAATTAGTCTGAATTTTAAAGATGGAAAATCTCAGATACAAAAAAAAGGTGGGGATCTCCAAAAAGGAGTCTGATATAGGTAAATCTTTTGGGGTGGGGGAAGCCTGCTGTTTCTGAGAATTCCCTGAAAAAAAGCTCAGAAGGACTTGGCCCATTCTGAGTTGAGATGGGGAGTTTCTCTGTGCACTGTTAGCCCTGGTTGGCAGTTCTTAAAAAATAAAATAGCTGCAGACATGGTTCTGGAGTCCTCTCCCTCCTAAAATTTCAAGGCACACCTTCCATCTTGTTCTTTGCATGGATATATGGTTCACAGGTAAAAAGAGCATCACAGGAATTCCTTGGAAGAGCTCCAGTTGGCTTCTCAAGCACCATGTTGGAACCTCCCCCCCCCCCCCCCCCAAAACACAAAATACTTGGTAGCAAGCAAGAAACAAACTTGCTGTCTAACCAATTTTACTTACATAAGGAAAAAGGGTTGTTATTTTTTTACCTTAATAATGAAATCAGTTCGATGATAGTGAAACTGATTGTGCTTGTGAGGATGACCAGCATTGAAATGTAAAGCTGGAATCCTTTCTCTCTTGAGTCGTCGATCTACAATCATTGTGTGTCTGTGCCCGAGTGACCTGTTCACTTCAATATGACAACTGGGAAGCAAACTTTTCAGGGGCACGTTCCTACAGCAATGTCTGTCTTGTTTCTTTAATGACGCTCTCTTGGATCTGATCAACAAAACCTAGAAGATCCTAGGGCTTCCCTAAATACGCCTTATGTGTCGGGTAGTCAGCATAGGGTAGTGGTTGAGAGCAGGTTTGATTCCCCACTCCTCCCGCTGGGGGGCCTTAGGCCCGTCACAGTTCTGAGAGTCTCTCAGCCCCACCTGCCTCACAAGGTGCCTGTTGTAGGCCATTGTAACCCTTCTTTTAGTCCTATATCTGTTTTCTACCTACCATTACATTTTGGTCTTCAGTCATTCTTTGGCGCAGCACTTCATTGTCACAAACAAACCATCCTGAGAGATAGATTGGGCTGTGAGGTAGTGATTTGTCCCAGGCCACTCTGTCATAGCTGAGCTGGAATTTGACTGTTGCATTCCCCATATTCAAGGCCCACACTAACTACCACCAATGTTCCCTCTAAGCTGTGGAGTCTTGTGAGCAAAAATTCTACTCTGTGAGCTACTGGCATGAAATTTGTGAGCGAGCGATTTGGCTACTGCATAAATTAGTTGGCCCTAGAGTCATCCTTCCTGAGTGAAGACAAAAATCTGTGAGCTGGAGGCTGAAAAACTGTGAGCTAGCTCACACTAACTCAGCTTAGAGGGAACACTGACTACCACACCAGCTCAAACTCAGCTGAACATATACTGTAATATCTGATTTGACTTTTGGAGTCTGGCAAAGCAGCTCTGCAGTTTTAAACATCCTATCAATAATATTTCCATGGGGGGGGGTATGAGGTTTGAATAGCTTAACATGAATATACTTTTCTCCCCTGATTTATTTGAAGGTGTCTCCAAGGCCATTTTGGAAAGTGCTGGACCTCAGGTGGAAGCAGAATGTGCATTACTTGGTATGTAATTATATTATTTAATTAGCACATTTATGTCGTACCTCTGCAAAAATCTGCTTCAGGTGCTTCACAGGAAGAAACATTTAAAACAATAATACAAATATAAAAAAATAAATCTGCTAAGAGCAGTTCAGTAAAACTAATTTTCCTGCAGTAAAATCATCTCTGTGTGAAAACCATAAGTCAATAAATACCACTTATCTGGGTTTAGACACCTACAAGAATCTGCTACCTAATAATACTTTAATGTCATTTGACTCTGTCTTGAAAACAAGTAATGGTCATATAACAGTGTTTGAATACTGACAATTGAAGAGTTTCCGGTCTAAAAAATCCAAAACCAGGATGGTTTTAAGTAGACTGATAGAATTTGAAGAATCAAAGACTCAGGAATATACTGTTAAATATCAGTGTTAACACCAAACCAAAATTTCAGCTTCAGTGGAATAAAGATATCGGTTCTGAGGTTCTGGAAGTGGTTTGTGAATCCTCCTTCTGTTTACCCAGTGAGGTAGACAAAAGGGAGCACAGGATCTGGCGAAAGAAGTGTAAATTAATAATTTCACACTTTTTGTTTTTTTGCTGTCACAGCTGACTTACGGGCGACCCCATGGGGTTTTCAAAGCAAGAGAGGTTCAAAAGTTGGTTTCCCCTTGCTTACTTCTATGTCATGACCTGGTATTCGTTGGTGGTGTCTCTTCCAAATACTGACCAGGGCTGACCCTGCTTAGCTACTGAGATCTGATGAGATTGGGCTATCCTGGGCTATCCAGGTCAAGGCAATTTCGGACTAGCATGCTGTTTATTAGATCTGTTAGTCTCCCCCAGCTGAGAATTTATGCTCCGATTGGTACACAGTGGATTTACAACATGTTATCCCTCTTGTTTTCTAGCTTCGCAGCCTAACAATGGATTTATAACCACCCAAGGTGGTAATCTGATCTGTAAGAACATTATCCACCTTATCCCTGACTCTGACATCAAAGCTCAGGTCTCCAAAGTGCTCCAGGAGTGTGAGCTGAAGAAGTACACATCTGTTGCCTTCCCTGCAATTGGAACAGGTTTGTATTGTCTCCTGAGATCAACTGCTGCTGTCCAGAAGACTCTTTTCTTAAAGGAATGATGCCCTAGCTCCTAGAAAAACCTACTGCTGTTAAGAGGGTTTAACTATAGCTATTTTATTTAGTCTGCCTTTCTCACTGGTACTCGAAGTGAGTTACACATTTAAGGGAGTTTGCTGGCCAAAACTATTTCTCTGAAAAGAGTTTTGAGTCCAGTGGCACCTTTAAGACCAACAAAGTTTTCTGGATATAAGCTTTTGTGTGCTGCATGCACACTTCTTCAGATACCTTGAAACAGACATTTGTTTCAAGCTATCTGAAGAAGTGTGCATGCACATGGAAGTTTATACCCAGAATAAAACATTGGTCTTCAAGGTGCCACGGGACTCAAACTTTGCTGGTTCAGGTCAACATGGCTACCCACCTGAATGTATTTCTCTGAGAAAAACTGAATTTTAATATATTTTTTTAAAGTTAGAAATCCTAAAATTCTTACACAATAGCAGTTATCAACATTCTGGAATTCTCCTTTCTTGATGAAAGACAACCAGAAGAACAGTGCAAAGCATAATGGAACTGTGGAAGAGTAACTGAGTGAAGCTGAAGAATTCTGTACACCCCTAGGAACAAAATGGCTGAGATTTTCAGATTTCATCATGAGGCTAATTGGTCTGATACTGTATAAAGCTGCTCAATTTGCATATATTCTATTTGTTTTATTTTACGTCATGTGTTCCCTGCCTTTCACCCCAGTGGGCAGCCAAAGTTGCTGACATCATTCTCCTCTCTTCCATTTTATCCTCACAACAGCCCTGTATGGTAGGTTAGGTTGAAAGTGTATAACCAGCCCAAGGTCAGACTTCCATGGCAGAGTCAGGATTCGGTAGGATAAACCCAAAGGCTGGAAAAAAAACAGAACAATAAATATTGCAGTACACAAACAAGTGACCAAATACGATTGTGTGCACAAAGCAATACACAGATAATTTAGTACAATAACAATTCAAGAACAGAATGCAAATATCCACAAGCAGTGAGACAAAACAAGTGCCAGACGTGTTGTGGCAGTCAACCTTCGTCAGGGACTCACACTATAAACATAGTCATCACTGTCGTATCCCACTCACACAGTGAAAAGTCATACTAACCCACAAAGTCCAGTTGGATGACCAAATAAAAACTAGGAATATGTTATGAACACTTGATAACAAAACAACAGACTTCTGCACCATCACTCACATCTGGATATCACCGCCGGTCAAAATTGTAATACTAATACACATGTATGAATATACCACCAAACTCTCACACTCACTGTTTGAGTGGGATGTTGACGGTATTCTTCAATTGTTACTATATTAAATTATCTTTGCAATGCTTTGTGGATACATTGAAACTGGTCATTATTTGGATATTGCAATATTTATTGTTCTTCTGTTTTCTCAACCCTTGGGTTTAGCCTATCTTCCTTTCCCTCCCCCTTTTTTGCGATGGAGTAGGGATTCAAACCTGGATTCTCCCAGATCCTAGTTTGATTCTTTAACCACTCTAGAAGGAGGAAAGTAAGACAATCCATTCAAATAACTACCTTCAAAATATTATAAATCTAAATTTATTAGCAATACTTTTTAACAGAGTACATATGAATAGATCTACAGAAGTCAGGAATTAACTTGGGCTGCCAGAGAGAAAAAAGACACAAGATCTAGAGGATGGTAATAAATAGGGATCCCACCCAGTGTTTGAACTCTGGGCTCCTGGGCCCAAGGAACAAGATCGCTCTGTTACCACACAAGTCAGTTCCTGAATGCCACCCTCCTTTTAAGTGCTGTGCTTACAGATAGATGCTGTCTCTCAGCTGTTGGCAGTCTCTGGAACCAAGTCTCTTTAGACCTCAATTGAAAACACAACAGGTTGTCTCATGTCCTGGGCTTATGGTACCAAGGGCTGTAAGGTTTGCTGTGGTCAAACAGGAAAATTTTGTGAGCAGTGTTTGGGGTTCACTGTATCCATGCCTCTCACTAGGAGTAGGATTGAGCCACTGGTGGGCCAGCCAGTCACCCCACTACGTGGTAGTGTTCCAGCCATGGCAGGAACCACATTTGCTACTCAGCCAGAGACATGGCCCAGCAGAGTGACGGGGATCAGGAGGACAATTGTGGAGTTAAAGCAGTGAAGGAAGGAGTTAAATATGAAAGCATGAAATTGGAGCTACCAACCAATCAACTCTCCAGCTATTGGGGGAATGCCTACCCTCCGGTGAGAGCCAAGAAGCTGTGTGTGGACCCACTTCCTCTTTAAGCTGTCCTTTAGAAAGAAGTCAGGGAGAAACCAATGAGGTTAGACCAATCTTGTCTCCAGGCACTGGAGGAGCTATCTGAGGAAAAGGAGGAGGAGGATTGGGGTGAACCTTGAACCCCTTCCCCTTCCCGCATCTGAGGCCTAAAAACAGAGTAGGCAAGCAGCCTGCTGTACAGGGCATTGGATTGGTGGAAGAGAGGCCAAACATAAAACCAGACAAAGAAATCCATATTTTACATCAGAGCTTTCTCCAGTTTTTCTAGCCCTGCTGTTTTCCCCCTCCTGATACTGCAGATAGCAGTCATCCAGTATGCATTTCATATTTGTGTGTGTCTGTCCTGCATTTCTTTATAAAATTTTAACTACATGATTTTTTTGTATTGTCTTACCTAAGTCTCCATTTCTTTCAAAATTAGAATTCGGTAAATGCTGACTGTTTACTATAATTTCATTTTACTAAAATCCCTTGATGGTATCTGTGAGGGAATTAAAGGTTTGTGGACAGCAGCATGTAAACAAAGGAGCTGTTGAGTCATGTGACTGAGAGTGGTGGGGGCCAGATGGCTCAGAACTCTCAGTGAGTGACAGGTAACTGTGAACAGCTGACAGTTGAGAGCTGACAGTTGGCAGAGACAGTTGGAAGAAAGTTGGCAGTCGGCTAACTGGAGAGCTCTTAAGAGAACATAAGCCTCTGGGCTCAGTGGAATCAGCCAGATAGCAGTTTAAGTGGAAAACTGTGGTTGAATAGCACTCTGCACTGGTACCCTCTAATATAAAGAGGAGAGTGACGAGAGAGTGAAAAGTATAAGACCTCAGTGGTCACAAATGCCAGATACACTGCTCCAAAGGAACTTATAAGGTGGCTAAGGGAGGGCAAAGGGTCTGTAGGAGTCTGGAGAGCTGGGGTTGGTGCACCAGTAGACTCGAGAGACCAGGCAAATAAAGCCCAAAGGTTAACCACAAAACAGTTACTGGAGAGTGGGATCATTAATTGACTTTGTGTAGTGAAGAACATCTGTGTCATACTGAGAGTCATAAGCCCACAGCCTATGTCAAGGCAAAGTAAAGTGTCTATTCATCAAAGAAACAAAATAGCCTGTGTAAATATATCCTGTTGAGTTTTCTGTGTAATAAAGAACTGTGCTGTTTGACTCTTGCAAGCACTGGTGCCTGACTTTCTGGTAAAGAATTATATTGGGCAGTTGTCCTCAATACATCCACAAGTTATACAAACCCCGAAGAGACCACTTGTTAATGTGAACTGGTCAGCCATCAGAAAGTAAAACTGATCAGTCCCATCCGTGTAAAATAAACTATATATATATAGGCAGTGACTCCACAGCTCAGTCATGGCAACGGCCGGGGTTATAACATTGTTGTGTTATAGCATCTGTCCTTTCATTTTTGCAGTTCAGATCTTGAACTGAAACTTTGAGAATGACTTCATTTTAAATCTGAGTCTGGAGGATTCTGACAGCAGTGTGTATGTGTGTCCTTAAAGAATCAGCAGCATACTGTTCCAAATGGCATCAATTGTATATATAATGTATTTAATGCATTTATTTTCTTCTTGTTGCAGGCCAGGGTGGTAAGAGTGCAGAGGATGTAGCTGATGAAATGATTGGTGCAATTGCTGACTTTGCAGGCAAGAAATCACCCCAGCACTTAAGTGTCATTAAAATAGTCATTTTCCAGCCACACATGCAAAATGCCTTTTATGCTTGTATGAAAAAAAAAGAAGGCTCTGCATTGCCCTCCTCAGAATCCCTGTTTTCTAGATTTAAAAGTAAGTTCCGAATATTATTTCTTCATATTCCTAGCAACATTTCTTTAAATTTTTTGGTACCGTATTTACAAACTCTCTCTTTTTTTTGCAGCATATATCACTGGTAAAAAACCGCCTCTCCCAAAGAAACGTGTCTTGGTTTTGGAAAAGAAATCTGAAGTTGCAGTGTTTGAAATTTGTGGTGAACAAAAAAAAAACGTAGATGACACTGAGGCCTGGTTAAAACAACTGATTCTGCAGGAGCAGGCAGAAAAGCGTATCCCTGATGAGTTAATTGAAATGTTTGAAGATGCAGAAATTAAGCAATTGAATGACCTGCAGAGAAGATTACACATTGCCATTCACCTGGATAGAAAGCAGTCTCCTCCTTCAATTACAGTGTCTGGCATTCCCCGGGATGTCTTGGAGGCCTTCACAGAAATTCAGACACTGATCCAAAGAATGAAAGATAATCGGGAGGAGCAATCCATGGGAAAACTTGTTCAAAATCTGGTTGAATGGCAGTATTCACCAAATGGGGATCTATTCCAACCTGTTGATTTGCTAGACAATCTCCATTTAGAAAATGCTAAAGGTGATAATACTGGGCTGGTGAAGATCAGTATTCAAGGAAAGAGCTACATGGCAGATGTACAGAACAGGACTGCTACAGACAACCAGGGAAAAAGAATAAGCATTAGGCGCATTGCAAAGGAGGAAGGTAATGAGGAGTGTCAGCACTGATTAATACCTGCATGCCTATTACTTTATAGAATCATAGAGTTGGAAGGGACCTCCAGGGTCATCTAATCCAACTGCCTGCACAATGCAGGAAATTCACAACTACCTCCCCACATACCTCCAATGACCCCTGGTCCATGCCCAGAAGATGGCAAAAAAACTCTACAGGATCCCTGACCAAACTGGCCTGGAGAAAATTGCTTCCTGACCCCAAAGTGGCGATCAGCATTTCCCTGGGCATGTAAGAAAGACCCACAGGAAGTAAGCACTGATGCAACCCTTCCTGCCCTCCCTCTCATGATCTGCTCAAGGTTCACAGAATCAGCATTGCTGTCAGATGGCTATCTAACTTCTGTTTTAAACCTCCCAACAAAGTCTGTCCCACTGAGGAACCACTCTAGCTGTCAGGAGGTTCTTCCTAATATTTAGCCAAAAACTCTTCTGATGTTTCCGATCTGACCTTCTAGGGCAACAGAAAACAGCAACACACCATCCTGTATATGACAGTCCTTCAAGTACTTGATGGTTATATCACCTCTCAGTCATCTCCTCTCCAGGCTAAACATACCAAGCTCCTACAACCTTTCCTCATAGGACTTGGCCTCCAGACCCCTCACCATCTTTGTTGTCCTCCTCTGGACATGTTCCAGCTTGTCTATATCCTTCTTAAATTGTGGTGCCCAAAACTAAACAAAATACTCTAGGGCCGTGGTCACACACACTAAATAATCCACTTTCAATCCACTTTCAGTGCACTTTCCAACTGGATTTTACTGTGTGAACTGGCAAAATCCAGTTGGAAAGTTATTGAAAGTGGATTATTTAGGGTGTGTGACCGCAGCCCAAGTGAGGTCTAACCAGAGCAGAGTAAAGCGATACCATCTCTTTGCGTGATCTGAACACTATATTTCCATTGATACAACCCCAAATCACATTTGTCCTTTTAGCTGTCGCATCACACTGTTGACTTATGTTCAGTGTATGGTCTACTAAGACCCCTAGATCCTTTTTACACATCCTACTGTCAAGACAAGTCTTCCCCATCCTATAAATATGCATTTGATTTTTCTTATCTAAATGCAGGACTTTACATTTATCCCCATTGAAATTCATTTTATTTGTTTTAGCCCAGTTTTCCAGCCTGTCAAGATCATCCTGTATCCTGACTCTGTCTTCGATCATATTTGCTACCCCTCCCAATTTATTATCATCTGCAAATTTAACAAGCATTCCTTCTATTCCTTCATCCAAATCATTTATAAAGATGTTGAACTAATCAGGTCTCAGGACAGATCCTTGAGGCACTCCACTTGTCAGTCCAAGAGGATGAGGAACCATCAACAAACACTCTTTGGAAGCAATCTGTCAACCAGTTACAGATCCACCTAACAGTAATAGGATCCAAACCACATTTTACTAACTTGTCAACAGGAATATTATGTGGAACCTCATCAAAAGCCTTACTGAAATTAAGATAAACTATGTCTACAGCATTCCCCTGATCCAGCAAAGTAGTAACTTTCTCAAAAAAAAAAAGAGATAAGGTTAGTCTGACATGACTTGTTCTTGAGAAACCCATGCTGGCTCTTAGTAATCACAGCCATCTTTTTTAAATGCTCAAGGACTGACTATTTGATGATTTTTTCTAAAACTTTTCCAAGTATAGACGTCAAGCTGATGGGTCAGTAGTTATCTGGATCCTCCTTTTCCCCCTTCTTGAAGATGGAGACATTTGTCCACTTCCAATCTTCTGGCACCTCACCTGTTCTCCAAGAATTCTCAAAGATAATTGACAGAGACTCAGAAATTACATCCGCGTGTTCTTTTAGTACCGTTGGATGCAATTCATCTGGCCCTGAGTACTTAGTTTCATTTAGAGAAACTAAGTATTTATGTACTACCTTCTATGCCGATCCTAGGCTGCAACTCCCTTCCCTCATCATGTGTTCTGTTTTTGCCATGTTGAACACTGTTTCCCTCTCAAGAGAAGATGGAGGAAAAGTGGGAATTGAGCTGTTCTGCCCTCTCTTCATCACCTGTTACAATTTCACTTTCCTCACCCCTCAATGGGCCTACCATGTCCTTGCTCTTTTTCTTTCTTTGAACATAAGAACCCTTTTGTTGTTGTTTTTAGCATCTCGTTAGCCTAACCTCATACTGAGCTTTAGCTATATTTCTCAATTCTTCAGAAAGCTATTTATAGAGCCACCTTGGCCTCTTTAGGCTCCTCCCATTTTTCCTTCTCATAGGAATAATTTGTGATTGTGCCTTCAGTATTTTGCTTTTAAGAAACTCCCACCCCTCTTAAACTCTCTTCTCCTTAAGTATTTCTGACCGTGAGATTCTATCTACCCAGCATAACTTTTAAGTTTGTCACAAGTATTTCTGACTGTGAGATTCTACCCAGCATAACTTTTAAGTTTGTCAAAATTTGCTTTCCTGAAGTGTAACCTATATGTCTGACTATAGCTTTTCCTTCCCCCAAGACTGTTCCAAAATTACATGGTCACTACTACCCAGGGTGCTCACTAGTTTCATCTCGTCAACCAGTTCTTCCCTTTTGGTGAGAATCAAGTCCACGACAGCAAATCTCCTTGATTCCCTCTCCACTTTCTGGAAAATGAAGTTGTCGACAAGACAAGTCAGGAATTTATTTGACTTTTCATTTTCAACAGAGTTGGACTTCCAACAGATATCTGAGTAATTGGAATCTCCCATGACCACTGTGTCTCATCCAAGTCCTCTGCCTGGCTTGTTGGTTGCAGCATCACCAAAGCAAGGTTTTAGGCCACAGGGCAGTTCTGCTTAAGTTCAAAAACAAGTTAAAGGGGGGAGGATTAAAATTCTAGTTTTCCTTAAAAAAAAAAAAAAAAAAGATACTGGCAGCTTGCAAGGTCCTGCCAATTGCCCCAAAGCCCATTTTAACTAATCCAAGAATCCTCTGTTGGAGGACTTTCATGGTAAAGTGATATTAAGAAAATTCACAGAGAAGGTTTTTTGCACAAACCCATTTGAAATGAATGGCCACTTCTAAAGAGCTTGTGACCGTGCTTTGAGCTTCTTAGTTACATTGACTGTTGACTGTTTTTAATTAGATCTATATTAGTAATATCAACATCCTTGCAAGGTCTTTATTAAAAATCCTCTCACAAAAGTAAACAATGACAGTTCAGACAACAAAGTAGGAGGGCGGAAATGCCGGTTAAATGGATCTGGGTAGAGTCTGGTGCATGGTGGAGCAGTCGTGTAATTGCTATTTGGCCAGTTCATGACACTCCCTGTATTGGGCTACCATGGTCCCCCTTCAAGATCTTTTCAGTGGTGCTGTAAATGGAGGTGAGTTGCTTCTTACCTCTGGCTCCCGTTGCGTTGTTCCCACTGCCATTTTCTTCCATGCCTTTGTCACTAAAAGTGTTGATGTCAAGCACGGGGGTTGGGACTACTCACGGGTGCTTGAAAGACCTCAGTGGAAAGCTGGAAGCACCAGCTGTGACGGGAATAGAGGAGGTGTAGTTGTAGGAAATGAGGCAGAAAATGCCTCCACTGCCTAAATCTTCACACTCCAGGGATCTAAATCCCAACACTTGTAATGTTGGGGGCTTAGGGAAACAGTACTAACAATTTTTTTTTTATTTTGCAGGTAAACTGTTAGTAGGACTTCCCCCAAATTGGGAGGATATGAAGGGAGCCCTTCTGAAAAGTGTTTCATTGCAACCTCAAACGACAGAATATCAAGATGTTGAAAGAAGATTCCGGGCCACCTGTCCTACGCAGAAAATAGAAAAGGTGAACTTTGATAGAGTAAATGAGCTTTGCAGGTTGAAGGTGCAGTCCATAAAATTCCATGGGCAGCTGGGAACTTGTGAGACGCAGCAGCCATTCAGTGGCTGCAGGCATCAGCCCTAAGTGTGTGCACCTGAGTAAAGAAAAATTCATTTGTATGAAAGTGTAGTGTAATGATGTCAGGTATCACCAAAACCCAAACATTTGGACATGCGATGTGCTCATGAAGCCAGAGGGCCATTGGTGGGCGGGGAACAAGGTAGGTCAGCTTTCTGCCCTGAGTACCTTTTATGGGTATCTTTAGCATTACTTGTGGTTAAGCACCATGGTGGAGCATGAAGATAGTTTGACGTTAACTGTGTTGTTCTACAGTAGAAGAGCTACATTCAAGTCCAGTAGCACTGTGGAGACCAACAAGATTTTCAGGGTAGAAGCTTTTGAAAGTCAAAGTTCCCTTCCATCAGATACCTTTTAAGCTTCTACCTTGAAAATCTACTGGACTTGAATCTAACGGTGGAGCATGGGCTATGAGACCTGCCCCCAATTTATATATTTTATTCCATGCTTCTATAAGCAGTTTAGGATGGCATACATGGTCAACCTCTCATCTTACTCTCACAAGAACCCCATGAGATGGATTAGACTGAAAAAAATGCTTGGCCCTGGTCACCAACAGAGCTTCATGGCAAGCAAGGATATGAACCTGTGTCTCTCCAACCATAAGGCAAGACTCTGACCTCTATGGCACCCTGGCTAGCAATTAGCCAGCACAGTGAGGTTTTAGAAACAATGCATGCTCCTCCGAGAAGTGGGTAAAAGTAAACACGTGGAACCCAGCAAGCTATTTCACCCTTATTAATTGATGGATTTTGGATAGATATGTGGGAACAACGGGCCGGGGATTTTGAGGGGAAAGGCAGCAGGTAGAAGCGATGTTCTCTCTAAGCTCCACAGTGTTGTGAGCAGAAATTCTACCTTGTGAGCAAAGAAAGCTAGTGGCATTAAAGTTATAAGTGACATTTGACCATCGCCTAGATTAGATTTTTAGATTATTTCCATAACCTTGCAAAAATCTCAATTATATGTCTTTTCAATTACATTTAAACTATATTTTAAGAATAATTTAAACATTATAACAGAAAACGGAATCAAGTCAAATTTCACCCACACCTTTCCACTATATATTGGTAGACCTGCCCTCCAGAGAACAGGTCTATCTGCCCGAGTCCACTATATTGGTAGACCTGGCCACTGGAGAACAGGTCTACCCACCCCAGTCCACTATATTGGTAGACCTGGCCTCTGGAGAACAGGTCTACCCACCCCAGTCCACCATATTGGTAGACCTGGCCTCTGGAGAACAGGTCTACCTGCCCTGATGCCCCCCCTCAACCCCCCCCCCCCGCCCAAGTTTAAAAAAGATTGGACCAGGCTGTCTCTCGAGATAGAAGTCATTACCTTGGAGCACAAGCCCTAAAATAAGACACTGAATTGACCTTTAGTCAGAGTCTCCTGGGATTATTGCTTTTCCAGTGCTGAAGGACCTTGAGGACCTCACATAGGAACTGTGGCAAAAACCTGCATCTCTCCAGCCTACCTTGAGAAGGGTAGAATATTTTTATGAGATTAAAAAAGAGCCATTTACCTGACAACTCATCCACCACCATAAGAACATAAGAGACGCCAATGTTGGATCAGGCCAAAGGTCCATCCAGTCCAACATTCCGTATCACACAGTGGCCAGAAATACCAGTGCCATCAGGAGGTCCACCAGTGGGGCCAGGACATTAGAAGCCCTCCCATCCTGCTTGGTGACAGAGGAGATGCAGCTGAAGAGCTGCCAGGCCTACCACTCTGTTCCCACAGATAGAGAGGGGAGAAAACTGGATGTCCTGGAGTCAAAAAATATATTTGTCAGTAGCATTAGGTTTCAAAATTGCTAACTATGAAACCATCATGGCCAGTTATCAGCTCTCCTTATGGGAGAGGATTCTTCCATTCCCGAAACTCCTGCGTGAAGAGGAACTCGATGTTCATCCCCACCGAATCAACCAGATAGAATCAGCATCCATCCGGTGCTTCATCACGATCTGAACCACCTCAGCCTAATGGCTTGGAGGCTTCAGACAGAGAGCTAATGTTTTCAAAGGAGGTTAATGATGTCCTCCTGCAATCACGCAGGCCTAACACTAGGAAATCCTATATGTATCAGTGAAGGCAATTCTTCCTGTGGTGTGGTGAGAGGGACGTGTCCCCGGGTAGTCCCCCATTACATGCCAATTTGATTGTTTATTACACCTGAAAACTAAGGGCCTGGCATTCTTTAAAGGTTCGCCTGGCTGCTATCTCTCGCTATCATAAGGGAATTGAAGGAAGACCCGTTTTCTCCCATCATTTGTCCACGAAGTATCTTAAGGGGCTAGGTAATCTTTGCCTGCCCCGGGATTCTTTAATGTCCCAGTGGTCTCTTATCTGTTGTGTTAGAGTAGCTAATGATCAAACCTTTTGAACCCCTTGCTATGTGTTCTTTGCCAGAACTTTCTATGAAAGTGTGTTTCTTAGGAGGTTGAGTGAGTTAGCGGCTCTTCAGATAGATCCCCCATTTTTTTTCCTGAAAGGATAATCTTTCGCCCTAGTCTTAAATTTCTTCCAGAGGTAGTTTCCAAGTTCCATTTATCCCAAGATATTGTTCTGCCCGTGTTTTTTCCTTTACCGAACTCTGAGAATGAGTACTCGTTGCATTCTTTAGATGTTAGAAGGACACTATTATTTTACCTCCGGAGAGCCCTAGAGTTTTGCAGGGATAGAGCCCTGTCTGTTTGTTTTAGTGGCCCTAAGAGAGGTAGGAGAATGTCATCTCAGACCCCGTCCCAATGGACTCTCAGGGCCATTAGAGAGTGTTATGATCAGGCCAGATTACCACGTCTGTCGAACAGTCACACCTATTCCACTACCTTAGAGAGTGTTATGATCGGGCCAGATCTGTCGAACAGTCACACCTATTCCACTAAGGCAATGGTTTCTTCAGTAGCTTTCCTGGAAGGATTGCCTTTGACAGAGATTTGCAGAGCTTCCGCCTGGTCATTGGCAGACACATTTGTACGTCACACGTTGGATCTGCAGGCGAGATGTAAGGCTCAAGTAGGCAAGGCAGTTCATCATTCGCTGTTCAAGTGAGGATAGCACCTGGTGAGTAGCTTGCTAGGATCCCCATGTGGGACTGCACAGAGGATCGATGATGAAAACAAAGTTGCACTTACCTGTAACTATTGTTCATCGAGTATCTTCTGTGCAGGCACACATACCCTCCCTCCTGCCACATGCTCTGGCTTTAATGATGCTAGCGGTACTGAGGGTGGAGGTGCCTACTGCGCAGGAACATGCTTCTGGCTCCGGTGCACAGCAGCCCCTGGAGCCTTTAGCTCTACAGACCTATCCGATGGCAGGCCTGCTCATGTGCAGTCCCCATGTGTGCCTACACAGAAGATACTGATGAACAGTAGTTACAGGTAAGGGCTGCTTTGTTTTAACACCCTTAAATGTTCCATAAACCTTCATTCTGTTTTGCTTTTGGAAGAGATAAAACCCATCTTCAGTATTGGTCTTCTGTTTACAACTTTTGTAGATTGAAAGGATTCAAAATCCTTATCTCTGGCAATCCTACAAAGTCAAAAAGGAATTAATGGAAAATCAGAACGGCCACACAAACAATGAAAAGCTTCTGTTTCATGGGTCTCCCAGTTCGACAGTCATCCCAATTAACCAGACTGGATTTAATCGCAGCTATGCTGGAAAGAATGGTAAGTCGTTATCTGAAACGATGTACTTTAATCTAGGAGACATTATGTGCAGTATTGGAAGGGGACACGATATGTCATCTGACCCTTTCCCCTCCCCTGGTTTATTTTAATGATTGTGTTGGCTACATAATGATACTCCCAGTATTTGCTCAGAGTACTCCAGGTGGGCAGACGTGTTGGTCTGAAGTAGTAGAACAGACTTTGAGTCCAGTAGTACCTTTAAGACTGTCAAGGTTTCTCTCTCCTACCCCAGTCCAGGGATGGGCGAGAACCCCAGCATTCAGGAATTAAACAAATGCCAGGAGAATGTCTGTACACTCTCCAGGCTTTACCAGTAGTCACTGCCACCAGGATCTCTTTAACCAATCCTGCAACAAAACTCCGGAGCAGAGATCCCAAACTCCTTCTTTGCTTTATGGGACTGGCCCACGTTACCAGCTCTGTACCAGGGCTGCAAACAATTAAGTAGCACCGTGGTAGCCTCCTTAGGCGAACGGCTTTAGGCACAAGATTCAGTCTTCGAGATCTGGTTGCAACAGAGAAAACAGGTCCAGATAATATTGATTATATATTATCTTTATTCAGTGCACAAGCATGCATATAACATGAGACTAGCAAAAGATAAGAAGCAATAGATATCTATAGCTTGTTCAGCTCTAGCTACCCAGTAGAGGTATGTCATAGTCACCAGGATTTTAGAGGTATCAGATGAAATAGTGCAAGGTCTCACCAGGGGATCTTGAAAAGGAACCCCATGGTGCTGTGGGCAGCTAGACCAGCTTGGCTGCCTAACAGTCTCACTCCATGTTAACAGCAAACAGTCAGTCCAAAAGAACTCTTTGTTTTCCAGAGAGAAACTCACTTAACTCTCCTCTAACTCCCCTTTTTCCCATATGGATCATTGCAGATATACCCCCCCCTCCGTCACCACCAGGTATGGCCATTTACCCAATAGTGAGAGAGTGGGAAGGCGTTCCCATCTCTGGTTACCATGTGTTGTCAGGCAAGGTATATTTTGATTGGTTAGGAGTTGGGCATCCCACTCCATCCTCTCCTATTGACCATCTGTCATGTCAGGGAATGCTCGCTTTTGATGTCCTAATGTACTGGGCATAGCTGTCCCATGCTTGGGAAGGCGCCAGCAAGTCGCTTTCTCTTGGCAGAGGTGTCAAAGTGTCTTGCATGAGGAGATTTGGCCTGGCCATCTGGCAAGCCATTTGCACAGGTGACAGGAATAACGCGGTAGTGTTACCAGCGAGGCCATATGGCCCAAGCTGGGAAGATTTTAGAAAAGCCCTTTTCTATACACTAACAAAGGTTTATTCAAGGTATGAGCTTTCGTGTGTACGTACACATCTTCAGATACATTGAAATGGAAGCTAACAGTTCACACATATAGGCAGATGCCTCTACATAGCTGAACAGAAAATTAGCATAAGGGAAATTAGTGCTGGGAAATTAGGAGCCTCTTCAGTTACTGGAATACTGCTGTGAGAGGGTGGGTAACTTTCCTTTTAAAAGGGCAGTGTAAATGCTTGTACACTTACGATCTCCTTCATAAATTAGAATAAAAAGTATAAGAGATGCTTAAACCTAAGCAACTGTAGGCTCTTGGTTTTTTAATCCCAGAAGAATGGCCACTCACATCATGTGCGTCCTCAGGTTTCATTATCCCACTTACAGTAACTAACGTTTATATCCCTTCTGATTCATAAAATGTGAATTCATCATGAATACATAATAATAATAATAATAATAATAATAATAATCTTTCAATTTATTAATCGCTCAATCCTGCAGAGCTTGCTGGCTCTGAGCGATTTACAGTTACTCATATACACATGGGAATAACAATGATTCAAAGGGGTAAGGGAAGACAACATATAAATCTTTAAATCACACACGTTCGCAGTCGACGGGGAGTTTGTTCAGCTGTAGGGTCAGACATGTTCCAACGGCATTTTTCCCTTGGCGTGGCTTGATGTCGTCAGCTTTTCTCCAGGACTGCTTCAAGTTGCAGCACAGCACTGCCACCGCCTGGCCGGACAGCCCATTACAGGCTTTCTTGATGCCGAAGAGTTCTTTCTAGGCTTTCGATCTTACGCGCTGGACATTCCATTCGCCGGCTAACACCTCCCCCACCGGGGGTTTTAGTGTGCCCACCCTCCCTAAGGAGTGGTACCCATTTTATCTACTCGTCAAAGCTTTCGAACCGCTGGGTGGACGGCGAGCTGTATTTTACATTTTCAAAGAAATCTTAGGATGATTAACAACAAAACAAGTGAAAAACATGTAAGACTACTTTAATAACACAGTATGCTGGCAGCCTTGTGAATAGGCAGGCTGAATCACCTCTAACCAGAAATACAGTTTAAGAAATTACAGCAGTTTGGATCCCTCAGAGGATTTTTGCCAATTTCCTCCCTGCTGGTCTGTCTCTGTAACTGTATTCTGCTGCTCAAGATTCATGAATCAAAGAGCTTCTAAGGGTACAAAAGGAAAGGCCTACCCTCTCATGTTTTCCTGTGTTCCCCAAAAGCAGCATACTATGAGGCATTTGGGGATGCAGCTGGAAGGGGAAGGTGAGAAATTTGTTTTCCATGAATGAATATGCCTTCCATCTGTGGAGATCTTTGGTAGATCCAACCCCTGAAGTATTATGAGAATGAAGCACTTTGAAGTACTACACAATGGTATTACTATTGGCCTGTAGCCTACGACTTTGATGTCTTCTCTAGCCTAAGGAGTTTTTCTGACAGAAGGAGAGCCATTTAAGTTTTAAGAAGGATCTTTAGGCTGGAGGATGACTTCAGACTTCGCCGAGCAACGTGGTAAAATATGTGCCGTCATTATTATCTAATCAGATATCCACTCAAATATTCCGTAATCCATATTTCTTGTGTTGTGTGGCAGCTCATTTTCCAGATCCCTGTTGATGAGATTACTGTTCTTCTGAGATAATGCTTCTCTTTTTTTTCTTTTCCTTGTTCCAGCTGCAATGATTGGAAAGGGCACCTATTTTGCCGTGAACGCCAACTATTCTGCAAACGATACATATTCAACACCAGATGCCAACGGTAGAAAATTTATGTATCTTGCTCGGGTCCTCACTGGAGAGTTTTGCCGTGGACAAAGCAGCTACATTACTCCACCACCCAAAACTGGGGGGGTTGACCTGTATGACAGTGTAACTGACAATATGCAGAATCCATCCATGTTCGTCATATTTCATGATGCTCAGGCTTATCCAGAATATCTTATTACTTTCAGAAAATAAGCTGCCTTTCACTGAAAGTGCTTCCTTATGCTTTCCTAAAAATCTTTTAAAGTTGGAATTTGAATGCAGATATCTTCATAAGAATGATTTTTAACAGAAAAGCCCAAATGATTTTGACTGTGATCCTACAGAAATCTAACAAAAATTTGTGCCAGGGTATGCAATTTCGTGAGCCACAGTTCACTTCTTGTGGCTTACAAAAGCTCATAGCCTGCTGCAAATTTTGTTAGTCTTTAAGGCACTCTTGCTCTTTTCTACTGGAGTGGGTGAACTGTTTCCTAGAGTAGAAATAAATATTACTGCCTGCACAGCCACAGATGCCTGTTGAGAAGTGGGTGTTTTAGAAAACAACAGAGCTTTTAAAGAGGGGAATTGATAGGAGCAAGGGAGCAAGAGTGTGCATTTGTGCTCCGGTCTTTAAAAACCCACGAGGTGCAGCCCTGCTCCACCCACTGAGGATTTTGAAAGCTCTGTGAATGCTGGAGGGGGCTGCAGCAAAACCTACAAAGGAAGCATGGGCTGGCTTTTTTGTTTCCATTGATTTCTGCTCTTGCATGCTAATTTTTCTTGCTCCCGTCCCTTGCAACTGCTTCTGGACATTAGTTTGTAAAGGAGGTTGGTTGGAGAAAAGTGGCTACAAGTTCCTTCTGCCATCTGCGTGAATTGAAAGAAATTCCAAGTCTTGGAATAATGAGGTTCTTCAAATGGTCTCAGAGCTATCAGTGAAAAGAATAAACCCACAAAGATTTGAGAATGAGAGGAAATCCCCACCCTCCACTGGACCCTACTCTCTTCCCTCTTGCTTTGGGGCACTGGCTACCCAAAAGGGCGGCTGAGACCTTGTGAGGTTTTTGTTTGGGATCTTGGTGCTTTAAAAACATTTTTATTTAATCACATTTCCTTTTTTATTTTACTTTGCACATTTTTTTTAGATCTGGGGAGTATCCAAAGTTTGCAGAAATTTGAACTTTAGACTTGGGTACCTCCCCTCCTCACAGTTATTTATATTTTTGATCCTTTAACGGGTGGGGGTAATCACTAGTGGCTACTTAAAGTCTTAAATCCAGATAGATTACTGCCATCCATAAGTATACAGTGACGCATCCAATTTATTTTCTTACCAATTCATCATAATGCCATTTAACGAACATTTCAAATACCTGAATTAAAATCAATAAACTTCAATAAGTCCAGTGTCAAAGTCATTTATGTCATGGGAGCTCAACTTCAAAAGGATATTTTTTTTTGTCTTCATTTTCGCCAGTGGTCATGGGAGTGGGGCAGTCCTTACTCTTGGGAATAGGCTCCCCCTCTGGTACGGGGTCGGGTTCCTCAGATTGATCCCAGAGGGGGAGGGGCCTGTCCATCCCAGTCTCACCGGCCCTGCTGCTTGAGCAAGATGTGTTTCACAGGCGCTCTGTAGAGTGCAGTGATCCAGGGATGAGAAGAAGAGAGGGATAAGGGAGAGACCCTCCCTCTGCAAAAGAAGCCGGCAGCTCTGGGAGATCCCCAGCAGCCGTGGCTGTGTACACAGACTCCCACCGGGCCCAGCCTGTGGCTGGAGGTCCCCTCCCCAACCAATACACATCAGGGGAAACAGTTGAGTCTGCAAGGAGACTGGGGCAACGCTGCAGACCTGGTAATCTCCCCAGTGTCAGAGGACCCGGCGTGCGGAGGAACGGACAAGCCAAGAGCCTCTAGCCCTCTCCAAAATCATGGTAAGCCCTAGCGAGGCAAAAAACCTAGATTGGAGGCGAAGGAGGGGCAGGGTGGTAGACTGGGGGGAAAGCCCCAAGCAAACCTCCAAGCTATTTAGAGGGGAGGAAGAGCAGATTGATTCCTGGGGCTTCCAACCTTGGAGCGGATTAAAGAGCCCTCCTCCCCACTCTATTTTTCCCCTTTGGGGAAAGTTCCTATGGAACAGACAGGGAGCTAAAAGGCCCAGGGAAAGCCATAAAAGGGCAGAAAAAATGGCGGTGGCCATCTTGGTTCCCTCATGGCAGACTTACTTTTGCTTTCACTCCTAGGCAACTGAATAGAAAATGACTGCCAAGTCGGACCTGCTAGTTCCCTGTGCCCAGACCTGGATAGCCCAAGCTAGTTTGATCTGTTGAGACTTCAGAAGCTAAGTAGAGTCAGACCTGGTTAGTACTTGGATGGGAGACCACCAAGGGAAGTCCAGGGTTGCTACGCTGAGGCAGACAATGGCATCCTCTCTGGGTAAACCGCTTTTAATCTGGAACTGGTCCCAAAACTTCCTTTAAAGCTTGTCATAGATTTTCCTCCCATTTGTAGTCATAAAGATTAGTTCTCGAACCTTGTCTCTATCTTACTGCAATGCCTTTACATTTGCCTGCAATACAGTAGAGTTCAGCTTATAGGCCAGGAGAGGGTGCCAAATATCTATACTTTGGAAGAGTCTATGGTTATTTCCAGTCATCTGACCTGGCCAACTTTACACACACTTCCTGAAAAAGGCTGAGACTTCGTTCTGCTCCCGATTGCCATTTTTAGTGTTGTTTACCTTTTAAAACTTTTGCCAAAGTCCCAAATGTTTGCTTGATTGCTTGAACACCTCTTGGAAGCACTGTATAATAGTCCATGTTCGCTTTAGATGCCTCCACCCCCCCCCAACATGCTTCAGAATCCTGATGTTTTTGTGCTGGGGAGAGTTCCCTCTCCCCCTTGCTTACAAGGAGAGGGGGCTTTAAAATTCCTTTCTGATGTCTTCACTTTATCCAAACTCACATTTCAACGTAGATCTCAGCTTCACAGCATGGATCTCCCCTTGATGTACGGGTAAGTCGCTTAACCTCCAACCGCTTGTTCCGGTATGCATCCCTGAGTCCAATACTGGGAACTCAGTGGTGGGACCGTCAGGGCATAGGGCAGCCTCCCTTCGCCGGCTGGTTGCCGGAGGAAAGGCTACCCCCACGCACCATGGCTAGGAGCCTATCGTAAGGGCTCCAGGGAGGGTGCGTACATTCACACCCCCTCCCATCCACTGGTTCATGGCACACGTCTCTCGGAGCTCCAAGTAGCCGCAGCCATTGCTAGGGTGCCAAACCGGAAGCCCGTTAACCTAAGTCTTGATGGGTGGAGTAATGTCCACAATGATCCTGTTGTATGTGCTAACAACAGAAGAAGGGAATGACTTCCTTGCAAAAACAATTGATAACATCAGGAAATGCACACACACAGCAGAATACAAGAAGTGGCAGCAAAAGCTATAACGTGAACAAAGAGTCAAGTGTCTAGTATGCAGTTTGGTCACAGACAATGCTGCAAATGGATCCAAGATGGGAAGAAATTTAGAAGAGCAGGAAGGGAATGCAAAGCTAATAACATATGGTTGTAGTGCTCATTTGCCGCACCTCAAGTGTTCCAGAAATAAAGACTAATGTCATTGAAATTGCTAAATATTTCCATAACAATAATTTTCCAGCAGCAGCTCTGAAAAGAATGGGTGGAACCAAGCAAACGCTCCCACAAGATGTTACATGGAACTCTGTAGTGGACTGTTTTAAGCAGTGTATCAAGAACTGGCCTATTCTGATGACAGTTTGTGAACACAATCGAGAGAAAATAGATGGCACTGTTACGGCCCAAATCCTCAACATCGGGCTTAAAAGAAATGTTGAACATATGCTGAGTATCCTGAAACCCATTTCTGACACTTTAAACAAAATACAGAAAAATAGCTGTTTTATTGCTGATGTTCTTAAAGTTTGGAAGGAACTGAGTGAGCACTTAAAAACACAACTACCGTTTTCCCGAAAATAAGACCTACCCCAAAAATAAGCCCTAGCAGGATTTCTATGCATTTGTGGTACCGTGTTTCCCCGAAAATAAGACACTATCTTATATTTATTTTTTCTCAAGAAGACACACTAGGCCTTATACCACAAATGCATAGCAATCCTGCTAGGGCTTATTTTTTTGGGTAGGTCTTATTTTTGGGGAAACAGGGTATAAGGCCTAGTTTGTCTTCTTGAGAAAAAATAAATATAAGACAGTGTCTTATTTTTGGGGAAACACGGTACATACTGACAGAATTACAAGCTTTAGAAAAATGAATGGGACAAGCACTGTCTATAGCTCATTTTCTTGCCAATTTTGTCAATATCTGGTACCAGGGTCAAACCTTAAGTGTGGAGGAAGAGGAGTTAGCTATGACATGGGTATCTAGCAATCACCCATCTGTAATGCCAACAATAATAAAATTTAGAGCTAAGGGGGAACCATTCAAGAAATATTTGTTTGCAGATGATGTTTTAAAGAAAGTCACACCAGTGAACTGGTGGGAAGCCACTTAAACTTAAGCACTTGGATTCAGAGACTGTTGAAGTAATGATTTCACTTTTAGCAGCAGTCACTTCTGCTGGCGTAGAAAGAATATTCTCTTTCTTTGGACTCATTCTAAATTGAAAAATCGTTGGGGACCTGATAAAGCAGAAAAGCTTTTCTTTTCCAGATTTTGAACAAAAAGATTAAGATGTGAGAGCTACAGAGGACAGTATTTAAAGTTTTTAATGTGTGTTTAAAGTTTTATAGTTTTACCAGTGGCAACCCTTTGAGCCCAATCTGTGAGGTATGATTTGAACCAGTTTAGTGAGCATTCCTTGATACCTATTTTGCCTCCCAAGTGACTCAAACATGATGGTACGATCTAGTGTATCTAAGGCTGGAGATAAGTCCAGTAAGTGACAAAGAGGCACGGCCTTTGTCTACACTCAGATGAAGGTCATCAACTAAAGCTAGGAGAGCTGTCTCCATCCCATAGCCCAGCCTGAAAAGCATCTAGAGCAGGTAGGTTATCCAAGACCTGCAGTTGGTTTGCTACTGTTTTCTCAATCACTCTGCCCAGGAAAGGGCAGGAGTAGAGACTGGATAATTGGGTCACATTTTTCTGAGAGCATGATTTTTTAAAGTACCAGACAGATAACCACTGAGGAAAAGTGCACTGGGTTAGTGACTGATTCATAATAGAGACTAAGGTTTGTTGATGTGGTCCTTACATGATGTAGCCCTCAATGGAACCAACCATCTTGCCTGCCCTCCGTCCTCTGCTGGCTCTAAACCAGATGCAATCGCTCTGCAACACTGCAACCAGACGCAATCACACCCATACTCTATGAAGTCCATGTGTGCCTTTATGTATAAGTAGATGTATGGGTAATGTAAGCACAACCCCTTAAGGAAGCTGAATAACTTGACCACATGAAGGTTATTCTACTGATTTTCTTACCATGAGGTCTTATAGGAGTAAGCACTACCATGTATCCCACCACTTCCCTGACCAAAGTTTGAAGCCTTCCTCAAGTGCAAGAACCACTTAAGGTGCCTTAGGGACAGCAGCATCACACATGCCAACCATAATAAGGAAATAGTGCATACTTTACTTCAAAGGTGTATATAATGCAACGTAGAACGTATCACGCAGAAAGTTTTTCCTGCAGCTGCTGTCTTATGAAGTATATATTAAATCCATCAGATCCCACAATGAGTAGCAGACTATGATCCATGTCCTCATGAAACAGACACCGGAGTCATATTTTGATAACATGGTTTCCATTTAGTTTTGCAGTATAACAAACACAGAACAGAGAGCCCATTCCCACAAAATGAAATGGGGAATCTTTACTCCAGTTCACAATTCTGCAAGCTGTAATACTACTTCCTTAATATGACTTTTATAACCTGATCATGTACATATATACTAGATAGCATGTATCTACTTAAAGCAGTAATCTGGAAGTTAAATTATGCTAATAGACTTGGATTCTGTAATGTGTTCAGATCTCAGTTCTATTTAAAACCCCATACATCTTATTGCTATGGCAAGAGATATTTTGCAGTTCACAATCCTGCAGTAGATTAAGTGGCAACACTTTCTAAAGACCATTTTAACTTTCCCTCTTAACATCTTAGCAATGCGCTGAAATAAATGGTATATATTTTAACAGAAACACATTCTGGACGGTGATGGAAAAAACACTCATTCAATTCCTTTTGCCTTCAATTCTTCTCGTACACGCTTCAGATAATTAGGATCAGGATAGCCAAACCTAGGAGAGACAGAGAGTTAACCAATTACACAAATAAAATGATGCCGCTGTATAGCATCCTCCTTTCAGATACTTTATATACCTAAAATGTTTTAGAAAGGGAAGAGTTTCAGAAAAAGTAGGCTCTGATACCAATTTGATATCCAGCCTTCAAAGATCTCTCCAAAGAAACAGAGCAAAAGTGAGTCTGTGCTTAGTTTTGGATGAACACCTGATTTCTACTATAATTTAGACATTTCCTCCAAGTTGTTTCCCAATTTCCACAAACAAAGCTCAGCTCATGGAAAAGAACTTCCCTACCTCTTACCACGCCCTCTGAAATGGAAAGCCTTAAGAACAGCACTGGGCATAATGTGGGGGACTGCAGAGCGTGAGTGTGTGGACTAACCAGGAAAAAGTCCTCGCCCCTCCCCTAAGCAAAAGCACCCATCTGCCTGGTGGAAGACAAGCACTGGATCTAATTCCTTACCGTGACAGTATTTTAAGAAACGGGTGTCAGGTGTGAGCAGAACAAACACACATCCATACACAAATATACCAAATTGCCTTACCAGGGGTCATTTCGTAGAAAAAGGTGCAAGAGCTCATTAGCATAACTCATTAGCATAACTTATTTGCATATGCCACATACCCCTGACATCACTGGAAGTTTGTCAGAAGGCAACACCCACCGCTCAGGCTCCACTGAACTGTTTTGGATTGCTAGCTATGGGGGAGGGGGGAAACGTGCAGATCTGTCCTGGCAGAGGAGGGAATAAAACTTGGTCTTAAAGGTGCCACTGGACTGTTTTGGGCTGGGGGGGGGGCTCTGCAGTTTACCTGGCTGCTTCTTGCTCTGACTGAGGGCTGCTGGGAGCAAGGGGTGGGGCTTGTTGCATGTGCCCGCCCCCTGGGCTCTTTACTGCCGGAGCTCCGCTCCTGTGCGCTCCTGCAGGAAATGACCCCTGTGCCTTACACTGTTTCAGACCACCCATCTGTCAAGGTCAGTACTGTCTGCTCTGAACAGCAGAAACTCTCTGAGGGTCTTAGGAGGAGGTCTTTCACATCACCTTGGAGATGCTGGGGACTGGACTTGGGATCTGCTGCATGCAAAAGCAGATGCTCCGGCACTGAGCCATGGCCCCTAGCAGTTCACAAGCAACCCACAACACTCGCTGCCATCCTAAGCCACTGGACTCTAACTTTGTTCTGTTGCTTCAGACCAACATGGCTGCCCACCTTGATCCATCCTAAGTAGAGATGTGAAGGCCCGGAAAAAAACCGGGAAAATTTGGGGAAAACCCGTTTCCCCCCGTTTTTTTCCTGAAGCCTTTTTGTTTTTTTCTGAAAAATTGGAAAAATTGGAAAAGGAAAAAAATTGATTATGGAACGTTGTATTTTAACATGATGAATAAAATATTTTAAGACAAGGTGTTGAAATCTAAAATATATATATACGGTATCAGATTGATCTAATTTCTGTGCACTGAGGACAAGTAAGTCCTAGGTTACAAACTGAACTCTCCAATGCAAGAACAAGATGCATTTCTTCCTTTAGGAGGTGCGATTGTCACAAGAAAAGAAAAAGGTTTCAGTTTTGTTTTTGCATGTGGGGGGGGTATTCTGTTTGTAATAATTGTTTGGATACACTATATTTTTAATAGGCTAGTTGTGATAATTTCATGCCAAGTAAAAATGTCCATAGTCATATTTTATGTTCCTAAAGTAAGAGAATGACTTTCAATCTAGAAAAGACAAAAGAAATGCGAATGTAGCATTTTTTCCAATTTTCCCCAAAATTTCCGCTTTTTCCTAAAAAAACCTGGGTTTTTTTCCGAACTTCAAAATTTCCGGAAATTTTACATCTCTAATCCTAAGGAAAGTCAAAGCTCTCACACTGTATTTTAAAAATGAATTTCTAGCCTCATATAAAAAGTGTTAAAAGTAAATACAACACATGTTGTGGGCTAAGACAGCACAAATGCATTTCAGTTTTGTTTTTGCATGTGGGTGGGTATTCTGTTTGTAATAATTGTTCGGATACACTATATTTTTAATATGTTAGTTGTGGTAATTTCATGCTAAGTAAAAATGTCCATAGTCATATTTTATGTTCCTAAAGTAACAGAATGACTTTCAATCTAGAAAAGACAAAAGAAATGCGAATGTAGCATTTTTTCCAATTTTCCCCAAAATTTCCGCTTTTTCCTAAAAAAACCTGGGTTTTTTTCCGAACTTCAAAATTTCCGGAAATTTTACATCTCTAATCCTAAGGAAAGTCAAAGCTCTCACACTGTATTTTAAAAATGAATTTCTAGCCTCATATAAAAAGTGTTAAAAGTAAATACAACACATGTTGTGGGCTAAGACAGCACAAATGCATTTGTTTCCAGATCTCATAAAGACCACACCACCATTATTTGACTCCGCTCAGGTTGCCACCAAAAGTGGGGTTGGGAACCAAAGCTTCACTGAACAGACGATGTCATACTCACCAACTTGGGCTCTAACTGGATATACAAATGATATGTTATGCCATTTCTATGCCATGATAATAGGTAAATGTATCACAGCCCTTTGGCTCATTTTGTTCCCAATACAGTCCAAGCTATTAGTTGTGCTACTTTAAGAGCAATGAGGTTTTCACAACAATGCTTATCCATGACCATGGCTCATCTCTGCTACTGCAAGACAAAACAAATTCTGTCAAAAGCCAAAAAGGTTTTCTTAATGTATGAGATAGTCAAAGATGAGCCACAATTCTCTCAGTCTGATCACATTTAAACAGTCAAGAAGCACTTTGTGATGCTTCAATACATTCACACACCATGAAACCTGTCTGGAAACAGCCCAGTACTAGGCAGGAAGGATTCAGGCCATGTGAAATCGCCAGGAACCATAGTAAGCATTAGTTTTCATCATGACAGAATATGCCAGCCACAGAATAAATTATAGCCTATGCTTGATCAACACTGGGCTCTTGGGATTACATTAAAAATGCGTATTTGTGGCAAAGGAGAACGGTATCTGCTTTTAGCCAGTTAGATTCAAATCCAGGTAGCATTGTAGGGGCCAACAAGATTTTTGGGGAAAACTCACTTTGTCAGACAAAAGATGGAATGCAGATTGCCAAGTCCTTATACTACTAGCTGTTCAACCAATATGGCTTACCCTATGAAACTGCTTTTACTTAGAAATCTGCTGTTCTTTATTTAACACACCGTGTCTTCTTCAGAAATGGTTTCTATGTATGCTCCTTAGGGGGGATCAGCAGAAAAGCTCATGGACCAAAAGGATAGAGAATAATTTCCCCTGCCTTCCTCTTACTCTAGCAGCCTGCTGTATATCCTGAAAATCTTCTTGGAGCGCTAAGATTGTGGTGCACTGCACAAATGAAGGGGAAATCAGGCAAAAAACCCCACCCCTCTTCCATGAACAGAAACCACCAGTGATAGAGGGAGAAGGAAGCAATTTCACCTAATTCCCCCTTGTCACGGCATGCTGCACACTGTGGTGCATTTCGTTCACCAGGTTCTTCCCCAGCACTCCAAGAGGAGGAGAAGCAGCGGCGATTGGATTTATACCCCGCCCTTCACTACCCAAAGTTGTCTCAGAGCGGCTTACAAACTCCTTTCCCTCCCCCCTCCCCACAACAGTCACCCTGTGAGGTAGTAGGTGGGGCTGAGAGAGCTCTGGCAGAAATGGCTCTTTTTCAAGAACAGCTCTTATCAGAGCTACGGCTTGCCCAAGGTCATCCAGCCAGGTGCAAGTGGAGGAGCGGGGAATCAAACCTGGTTCTCCCAGATTAGAGTCCGTGCACTTAACCACTACACCAAACTGGCTCTCATTGTTGAGGCAAACAGCATGTTGGTTTGGGAAAGGTGTGGAGAGATCAGTTCTGCCGGCTCCTTCCCTGAGCTTTTCTGACAGCTCCAACCCTTTGATCCTAATGAGGTCATGTGCCACAACATCAAAATTAAAGCAAAAGTTTTTCTATAAAAATTGCACTTAAGACTTCTTTAAAATTACCCATTTGCCCCTCCAAATATGCTAGTTTTGTGATGAATGTCATTCCAGGTAACAACATCACTCATTCCAGTTGTACGCGACTGGCCCACTGTGAAAATCAATTTCTGATCAAAAGCCCGTCGAAGCAGTTGCAGAATCTCTCTTCCTTCTTTGTTGTCAGGTAAATATGCTGTCCGTGTTGCTCCACTAAATCTTCTTCCTGGGTTTGGATGGTTTTCCTGGTTTGTGAAGACATTGAAAAACATTGTACATTGGAACACCAATGGAACACCAGCAAGGTGTTCAAGAAATTATTGCAGTAGGAGCTCCTGCTGTTACAGAGCAAGGATCCACCAAAACCAATGTTCTTCTTTCAGCAGGGGCCCCATCCAGATACCGGTGAGGAAGCTCCCAAGCAGGATCTTAAGTTCATGATCTTCCCTGTTTGTTTCTACCACCTGATATTTAACAGTACATTGCTGAATGTGCAGGTTCTATTTAGTCATGGCTAACAGCCACTGAGAGACTTATAATTCATGATTATGTCTAATCCAGTGGACTTTACCCAACCCAGAACTAAGTGTTCCATCTAAGCTGCACACATGAGTGGCCGCTCATTAACACTGGAAGCCTCGCTCAGCAGCAATCTGGAGCCGCACAGGTCTTACACTGCCCATTGTAAGATTACAGCAGTTATATTCTCCGGATGTGAACTGCTCCACTCAGTAGGGGGAGAAATTAGAGGGAACATTGACTGAGCTCACCATTAATTGCTAGGCTGCAGCATGGGATGCACTGAGCTATAAGCATGTGATGTGTCACTTAACAGGAAGAAGGGAAGCCACAGTTAGGACCTTGCTAAGTATCAAGGCCAGGATCACAGACAGTGAACCAAGGCAGCCAGAGGCAGGGAGCACAAGCCAAGGATTAAGAGGTATAGCGAGAACAAGCAAGAAGTCTGAGCCTGGGAAGAATCTATTCCGTTGCTACGTGAGCTCACTTTACTATTCTACGGCAGTCTCAGCGTGTACACAGACAGGCAGGAGCCATGGCCCCTGTTAGCCGCCCTGAGCCTTCGGGATAGGGCGGGATATAAATGCGAAAATAAATAAATAAATAAATAAAATGGCACCCTTGCTCTCTAAGCATGCGTACTGGAAGCATCTCTTTCCAAAAAGCCACAAAAAGTGTTGCTCTGTAAGGACTCATGGCCCTGACCCGGACAGCCCAGACTAGTCAGACCTTGGAAACTAAGCAGGGTCAGGCCTGGTCAGTATTTGGATGGGAGACCATCAAAGAATACCAGGATTCACGGACTGAAAACCACTGGTTTCATCTAAGAGCCAGGAGAAAATACAAGGGCTGCACCAGTCACAAAGATAAAAACAATGGTTTATTTATTTATTTACATAATGAAGATTCCCCTGAAGAAGCCTGCTGGCAAAGCTCACAGAGAATTTTTAGCTGTGTAATAAAATATATTTTTACTTGCCTTGGCCTTATTTTTTTTTAACCTTCTAATCTAGTAGCCACCCCTTCACCCTTCATATAATATGAGGGAAGCTTAGCCAATTATTATATGCTGCAGACTCAGTCACATTAGAGCTTGCTATAGGAGCTCCCCAGGCACCAGAATCTAAGCACGGTAGCGTACATCAAAAAATTGTATAAGAATTAGCATTTTGAAATTTGGCTTGCAGCACTTCATTCTAATGAAAAAATATATTACAGAATGACAAACCTGAAGAAGGACACGCAAACGGATAGTGTACTAGAACGTCGTTTGTCTGTAACTAGTACTGTATTACTCTGTATGTACTGCTAAGCTTTATATTGCATATTGTAGTGTTATTGTTGTAATTTTGTTAATAATTGAATTCTAAACATTGCATATAAAAACCAACAGATATTGTTTAATTGTACATGGTGATTTGCTGTTTTACTAGCTATTATACACCGTGGTCCTGTTTGTTGTAATATGTTATTTGTAGGAAGACAGATCCTCACCTAAATGGGTTTCATGGCAAATGATTAAAGATCTACAATAAACACATATGTGGGAATATGAACTAATCCTTGGTGGTGGGAAGTGCCGTCAAGCCACAGCGGACTCATGGTGACCCCACAGGGTTATCAAGGCAAGAGTCGTTCAGGGGTAGTTTGCCATTGCCTGCCCTCTGCACTGTGACCCCGGTATTCCTTGGAGGTCTCCCATCCAAATACTAGCCAGGGCAGACCCTGCTTAGCTTCTGAGATCTGATTAGTTCGGGCTAGCCTGGCCTACCCAGGTCATGGCAAACTAATCCTTCGCTTCCATTAAAAAGAGCCTCTCTTTTTTTGCCCACCGATACCGGTATCGGTACATGATTCTTCCCTCCCTTCTTTCCCTTCTCAAAACTTATAAATATGTAAAAATATAAACTTTACATTTAGGATAAGCTGGGAAAGCTACCAATTTGTTGCACAATCAGAAAACGCAACAATCTATTTCTAGCTCTGCCATATGCGTCTTCCCGGATCCCTTCCTATTTTGTTGTTATTCAGTCGCACAGTCGAGTCCGACTCTTCGCGACCCCCATGGACCACATCACGCCAGGCCCTCCTGTCTTCCGCCGTGCTCCGGAGTCTGCTTAATTTCATGTTTGTTGCATCTTCCTATTTTAATCACCACTAAATTTTGCCAGTGCGTGAGGGGGAAAGTTCTTATGCGCATTAGATCCAAAAAGTTGCTAACCCCCCCCATCTGCCACTCCAGCCTCTCTTTACTCTTCAGTATTCTTAGCGTATCATAGCCATGCCACAAAGAGAGTCCAGCTCAAATCAAGCAGCGTTAAGCACACTTTAAGCATTACCTATTTCAAAGCACAGGGATCTCTGTGGCTTCTATTGGAGACTATGGAGCTTCATGCAGAAATCTACATCTCCTGGCTTACTCCCAGACTAAATCGTTATTACAACTTTTCTTTTGTAAATAAATAAAATTATCAGAGCCTGATAAGGAGGCAAAGACACCACAATTTTAGACAAACTCACCTTTTGAATGCCATCAGGTATGTAATATGTAATGGTGATAGTACCAGACCCCTCATATCCAGGAAGAGGCATGCGTGTTTTACTGATATCCATCTTCCCTGGTGGCTGATTTCCTTCTATCTTCCCATAGGACATGTTACACACAGGGCAGACTGGCTTATATTTCATTGCCGTTTGAATGCATCCCCTACAAAATGCATGCTTGCATTTGGGCAGCACTTCTTTCTGGTCAATTTTATCCATGCAGATGGAGCACTTCTCCTCTTCTGGTTCAGCCTTTACTGCCTTTGCATAGGACAGATCTCCAGAAGGAGACGAGTACCCTTTACGGCCACTGTTGTATTCAAGGGATGCTCCTGAACTCATTCCAGCTTTGCCTGAATGAGGAGCAGGGAGGTCAGTGTTCAAAAACTGTAGAATATGCTTTTCAGTAGAATGCACGTGCTCTGGAAGGCCAAATATAGTCAATTTATCTTCTGTTTTTTTCAGAAGAACTTTGGGATTTTCTCTTTGCAAATGGTCGAAGAACTTGTTTATGTTCCTCCCCTGATCCAGTGAATGTTTCAAGGGGATATTTATTGCGGTATGTGCTTCGAAAGCCTTCTGGTAAGCTCTGAAGAACATCTCATAAGCCTTTGACGGATCTGGGCTTTTCTTCTTTGTCTCAGGCTTGAAAATGATGTGTGTTTTTTGACTCCTGAGGCATTTCTTTTTCTCCATTGGTGTTCCATACATTTGCTTTATAAGCTGGATATCCGTAGCTAACTTTGGTTCCAAGAATTCAAACACATCTGTATCAACAATACCAGTTTTCAGAAAATTAGATTCAGGCTTCTTAGGTAAGCTTTCTGCCTCCATTGCTTTCATAAAATCCTTAGCAGCTGAAAGATCCCTAGCAGGGCCACGAAGAATCAATGTGTTTCCCTGAGGTTTAACAAGGATGCTTTTAAAATTGGTGTTTAACATTTCTGATGTTCTCGTGACCTGGTGGATGTCGGCAAGAGGAATGATTTCCTGTTTCAGGTCTCCTGCTACTCTCTGAAAAGCTGTAACAAAAGTCTGCTGAGCTTTCTCAATGCAGCTAGAGCTCCCGGCAGAAGCAAATCGTACAGACGTCATCCCGCTGCCGTCTTCTACACTAGTTAGCTTTATGTTAAACCTTTGCTCCAAGTCTTCAGCTTCTCCCTTGCAGACATGGCTGAAGTATTCAAAGACCGCCGAAGGAACTACCATGTTGAAGGATTCTTCAGCATCATTCTCGCTCCCTTCTTCCTGCTCACTCGTAGCCATTCTTTCCAAACCATTCTGCTTCTGAGGGTTTGTGGATTCACCGCCGTCATATGGCTTTGCAAGGAGCTTCCTGAAATGACGGTGCAACTCTTCGATAGCACCATAATCTCCTGTCACTTTTTCTACACCTAGCTCCATTGAGGACTTTTCTATTTTCAAGGTGGGACACAGATTCACCACTTTATCCCTTTCCTCTCTTGTGAACAAATCAGTATTCAGAGTGGCAGATACACCGAGAAATATCTGGAAAGGAAAAGAAGTAGGGCAGGTGAACTGCTGCACAACGGTGAGTGTAAACGTCCCCAATGAGTCCCCACAAAATTGCTGCTATCGAGGGGGGGGGCAATCACAAAATGTTGGTGAGGCTTTAAGCCAAGCATCCCCCTACAATCAAGGCAGCTGTTTCCAGAAAGGCGCTCTAAGGAGATAAAAGCTGGTGCCTCTTGAGCGCTTTTGAAGCAGCTCCTGTTCCAATGAAGGCATGACTAAACACCAAGGCGCACAGAACGCTGTTACCTTCCCACCGAAGTGGTACCTATTTATCTACTTGCAATTTCTTGCTTTCGAACTGCTAGGTTGGCAGGAGCTGGAACTAGAGATGGGAGCTCACCCCGTCATGCAGAGCACCCGGGTCTCGAACTGCTGAACTACTGACCTTCCACAGCCTGCAGTTCAGCGTCTTAACCACTTGAGCCACCGCAGCTCCTTTATTTGATATACCCCACATGAAATTACAAAATCCATACAAATTCTATTTTGCTTTCAGTAATAATTGTAATAATTTTAAAAGCACGCGGTTGCTCAGAAACTCAGAGCAAATGAGTTATCAGAAGATCATAAGACTAAAGCACAAAACGGTAACATTCCAAGGTTTTCATATGAACCGGGGCAGGGTGGGGGGCTTAATTTAGGCAATGTCGGAGTCTTACCTTTTTGGTAAAACTTGCTAGTGAATTATCAGTATATTTTTCACTTGACTGCATCTTTTCAAAACTATTTTGAGATCGCTGAGCGCTTGAAACAGACAGTGGCGGCCTGGTAGCCTGGCTTGTCAAGGTCTGTGAAAATGATTTTTCTGCAGAATGCGTCACCTCAGAATCTTGCAGGATGCGGACGTTCAGAGAGGCTACAGAATGGTATTCAGATGCCTGCACTCGTCTCTTTGCTACATTGATTTAAAGAATCAAGAAGCATTAATAGGTATATATGGATTTTATACTTAAAATTCATACTACTTGGTTTAAGCCTAATACACCCAAGTCCTGAAGCCACCAAAGCAGGGGAGGATATATGATCCCACTTAACCCAAAAATAAAATGGACATTTTTAAGATGTGACGATTTTTAACATACGTCCATCTCATGTCCAGTTACTGCATGAAAATAACTCAGAAGTCTGAACGGTAAGCCAAGCTCCATAAAAATCTCACCCCAACACAAGTCCAAACTCTAGTTTAACAACTTAGCATGGATCCTACCTGTCATTTTTTGACACGAATGTCATACTAGATAGCCCAGGCTTAATTTCTCATTACAATTTTTATCTTCCTTTTTCCTTGCCAAGCAATAGGCCAATATAACAAAATATGTTTACCAGCATGAATGAAAAGGTAATTAGAGGTTAGTGCTAGCAAAAAGCTCTTTGTCAGAGTCTGACCTGACCAATTTACAGTTGCATCTGGTGGGCCCGAAAAGAGACGAACCCATGTATTAGTCTAAGCTTTGCTGAACTTTCATCCCACTTAGTCTGGCCTATGGGGAGATCTGAACCAGCTATAAGGCAGAGAAGTACCAATAACAGATCACAATGTCCTGAATGAGTGTAACTCACAGTAACCGTTGATTTGCTTTCTATAAACTCTAACAGGTTAGGCAAAAGTGAAGAATCAAAACGATGACTCATCCTTCTGCACATTAGATTAAACATAGCATAGGAGATCTATGCTTGGGATCAGGGTTTATTCTAACGTACAGTAGGACAAAATTTGTGCAGTACGAAAATAAAAGGTACAGTAGGAAATCATTTTTTGTGCAGTTGGAAATATGGGCTTTAAAAAGGAACAAAGGCCCCGGTCACACGGAGCATTAGGCACGCTAGAGAGACGGAAGATAGACGGATTTTCCGGGTGCGATCTCACCACCACATCTGGGAAGCATAGAGCTCCCGTGGCGCACCCGAGGCTTCCTGCCGAAGATGTGGGGTAAAAAACTAGTACCTCGGAGGTACTAGTTTCCGGAAACCGCGGGGCAAGGGCGGGCGTCTGTTCGCATTTCCGGTGGTAAGTCTCCACGGATGCGCACAAGCACCCAACGGAGCATGCGCACATTTCAGTTTAAAAAACCCCACAACCCCGTTTGCCGCGCCGCTCCGCTTCTTTGCCGCGTCGTGTGATCGGCACCTCCCCCCTAACCACGGGAGCTCGACAGGACCTCAACCCGACGCCTGATCGCGCACTCGCACGTTAGTTTGCTCTGGGGCAAACAGCCACACCTCCCCCCCGCATTTTCCTGCCCGTGTGGCCGAGGCCAAGGTTATTTTTTAAAGACAGATGGATGAGAAAAGATAAAGAAATAGAAAAGCAAGATGATTACTTTTACCTCAGACTTCATAACCAGATATCAATAGTATATTATTGGGAACAACTACTTGAGACTAGTCAAAATACTAATTAACTCATACTGAACTTTGAAAATGACACATTTGCAACAGTTACATGGCAATGGCAATACAAACACAGAAAAGAAAACTCCTCCCATTGTGCCATGTGCCTCGTCAAAATCTCCTTTGTTTCAAGATGGTTGGATCCTCACCCCCTTTGGATCCCATTCAGTCATTGGTGGCATACTGTGATCGATGGAGAGGTATTCATTTTCTGACTCAACTGAAACTCTTTTTCTGTCTATGGATTTCAGTGTGATACTTGTACTGATGAGACGCTTAATATCAGCACTAGGCTTAGCTGCTGCCATGAGAATGGTTACATCTCTGTATTCTTTGGATCATGCAAGAAAATGGACCAAATGGGACAACGCCATCTTGTGAGTTTCCTCGGTTTTTTCGAGTTGAAGTATCTCATCATATTCTAGTAAAAGTTCACTTGAGCCACCGCAGCTCCTTTATTTGATATACCCCACATGAAATTACAAAATCCATACAAATTCTATTTTGCTTTCAGTAATAATTGTAATAATTTTAAAAGCACGCGGTTGCTCAGAAACTCAGAGCAAATGAGTTATCAGAAGATCATAAGACTAAAGCACAAAACGGTAACATTCCAAGGTTTTCATATGAACCGGGGCAGGGTGGGGGGCTTAATTTAGGCAATGTCGGAGTCTTACCTTTTTGGTAAAACTTGCTAGTGAATTATCAGTATATTTTTCACTTGACTGCATCTTTTCAAAACTATTTTGAGATCGCTGAGCGCTTGAAACAGACAGTGGCGGCCTGGTAGCCTGGCTTGTCAAGGTCTGTGAAAATGATTTTTCTGCAGAATGCGTCACCTCAGAATCTTGCAGGATGCGGACGTTCAGAGAGGCTACAGAATGGTATTCAGATGCCTGCACTCGTCTCTTTGCTACATTGATTTAAAGAATCAAGAAGCATTAATAGGTATATATGGATTTTATACTTAAAATTCATACTACTTGGTTTAAGCCTAATACACCCAAGTCCTGAAGCCACCAAAGCAGGGGAGGATATATGATCCCACTTAACCCAAAAATAAAATGGACATTTTTAAGATGTGACGATGTTTAACATACGTCCATCTCATGTCCAGTTACTGCATGAAAATAACTCAGAAGTCTGAATGGTAAGCCAAGCTCCATAAAAATCTCACCCCAACACAAGTCCAAACTCTAGTTTAACAACTTAGCATGGATCCTACCTGTCATTTTTTGACACAAATGTCATACTAGATAGCCCAGGCTTAATTTCTCATTACAATTTTTATCTTCCTTTTTCCTTGCCAAGCAATAGGCCAATATAACAAAATATGTTTACCAGCATGAATGAAAAGGTAATTAGAGGTTAGTGCTAGCAAAAAGTTCTTTGTCAGAGTCTGACCTGACCAATTTACAGTTGCATCTGGTGGGCCCGAAAAGAGACGAACCCATGTATTAGTCTAAGCTTTGCTGAACTTTCATCCCACTTAGTCTGACCTATGGGGAGATCTGAACCAGCTATAAGGCAGAGAAGTACCAATAACAGATCACAATGTCCTGAATGAGTGTAACTCACAGTAACCGTTGATTTGCTTTCTATAAACTCTAACAGGTTAGGCAAAAGTGAAGAATCAAAACGATGATCCGAGAAATATCTGGAAAGGAAAAGAAGTCAAGTAGGGCAGGTGAACTGCTACACAACGGTGAGTGTAAACATCCCCAATGAGTCCCCACAAAATTGCTGCTATCGAGGGGGGGGGCAATCACAAAATGTTGGTGAGGCTTTAAGCCAAGCAGCTGTTTCCAGAAAGGCGCTCTAAGGAGATAAAAGCTGGTGCCTCTTGAGCGCTTTTGAAGCAGCTCCTGTTCCAATGAAGTAGGGGGCGGGGAGCCATGACTGGCTCTTTACCTGGGGGTAAGAAAGAAAGGCACCAGGAAACACAATGACAGGCACAATGATTCCCATCCCATGAGTACCACATTGGGGATTACTGGGGTAGCACCCAGATATCATTCATTCACATGAGCCAGCTACAAACTTACAGTTATCGTTGTTTTAAAAACCTTTATTTGATATAAAAAGGTAAAGGTTCCCTTGCTCAAAAGCCAGTCGAATCCGACTCTAGGGTTGCGGTGCTCATCTCCGTTTCAAAGCCGAAGAGCCAGCGCTGTCCGAAGACGTTTCCGTGGTCATGTGGCCGGCATGACTAAACACCAAGGCGCGCAGAATGCTGTTACCTTCCCACCGAAGTGGTACCTATTTATCTACTTGCAATTTCTTGCTTTCGAACTGCTAGGTTGGCAGGAGCTGGAACCAGAGATGGGAGCTCACCCCGTCATGCAGAGCACCCGGGTCTCGAACTGCTGAACTACTGACCTTCCACAGCCTGCAGTTCAGCGTCTTAACCACTTGAGCCACCGCAGCTCCTTTATTTGATATACCCCACATGAAATTACAAAATCCATACAAATTCTATTTTGCTTTCAGTAATAATTGTAATAATTTTAAAAGCACGCGGTTGCTCAGAAACTCAGAGCAAATGAGTTATCAGAAGATCATAAGACTAAAGCACAAAACGGTAACATTCCAAGGTTTTCATATGAACCGGGGCAGGGTGGGGGGCTTAATTTAGGCAATGTCGGAGTCTTACCTTTTTGGTAAAACTTGCTAGTGAATTATCAGTATATTTTTCACTTGACTGCATCTTTTCAA